AACCACTACGCTATCGGAAAGTGCGGGAATTGAAGAGCAAGCCTGCTGCACAGCAGTCTGTTTTTACCAGACCAAACACCAAGGGTAAGGCTGCAACAACGGCACCTTATCAAATTACTCATGTTCTTGTTAAACACAAGAAGTCGTTCAAGGACGGGGAGTTGTTAAGGAAGCCTTCATCAAAGCTGAATGAATCAAAGAATGAATTAACTGTCATATGGCTGTGTCGATTTCTTGTGTGCATTGTAAATTAATATGTCAGTGATAGGCTGTCGGCAAGCACTGTGGATGACTGTGTGAACTTGTAGATCTCAACAGACTAGAAACTTTGAACGTAGGTCTTGATTTAAAAAAGGTTGGGCACCTCTGTATTACACAGTCTGTAAACCAGGTAACCTCAGGTAACATAAACATGGGAGCCAACGTGAGGACAGTTGTCTGTATGAAGGTGTTGCTCTGACTTGGAAATGGGTTCATTTTCACTACATGGCTGGCACATTCAGTTATTTTAAACAGCTAAAAGCTCTGTCTGAGTAATAAACAGTGGACTTGTTATGTTGCTGAAAATGTAAGAAGAAAATACAGACCTGTGTAACCAGTTCAGTTGGGACACAGTCTCTTGTATTAAGGTCTTTTCCAAATTTATTTGAAACATCTTCTCAAACATATCCTTTCAAGGAAAATAAAAATTAAAAAAAAAACTAAGACAGCAAAAAAGAGAGGGTCAACAAACTGATGTCAGAGTAGAGAAATGGGCTTTACTGAGGAGACAGCTGGGAGACAAACTAAAGAAATGAACCCAAAGAGGGCAGAAGAGATAGACAGAGAGAAGGATGTGAGCTGAGATGCAAATGGCGTTTCTGTCAGAGTGAATACGGAGATAAATGAACAGTGCTCCTGATTTCTGTTTGATATGAAATGACTTTTCTTAACCACAGAATGTGTGCGTTTCTGTCAGGTCTCTTTCAATAGAGGCCATTAAGATGGAGGTCTGATTTCTCTCAGCGAGGAGAGCAAAGAGGAGTGCTTCTTCTTCACACTGACTGAACTTACACAGAGAGAAAGCAAGGTCATCCTGCAGGGATTTAATGACGTGGATGGGCTCCAATACAGAGAAAATCTGTTTCACTTGTTTGCATTGAAGTTACTCATGTAAAAGATACACTTTATTTAGATCTCTAATATTCACATTCACTCAGAAAATAACATCACAGTCAGTTCAAAATAACGGGCATTAGTTATTTTCATTTCTCTCTCAAGTGGGTCATGTCACTCTTCATCTCATCAGTCATTCAGAGTTTCTTGGCATGGCGTCCTTCCAACAACATGTCTCCTTATGAGCATTCGTGTTTTGGTCTTGCTTTTTTCCCTCGGAGTTGTTCACATGAGTTTTCTCTGAATATTAAAACAGACTCAAACAAGATGGGATCAATCCTTGTCTATTATTTGCATGTTTCCTCCTAATAAACTAGACTGTAAGTCTTTCAATTTCACCAGTCCCCCTGTAACTGTCTGCCTGTGGGTCCTATCTCCTTTCCTGATTTACCAAACATCAATATTAATTACCATACCATAAATGATGATAAATGTATATCAGTGAGCTTCAGTACATCATTGTTAACAAAATACTGCTTTTGCTAATGATACAATGACATGATGAACTAGTTGCAGTGTTGGACATTTAAAATTCATCATATTTTCCCCACTGCAAGTCTAATCCATCACCTCAAACACAATCATTGAATCTACAGGCTGAGTCTGCTGAGTGGCTCAGTGTTTGTTTTGTCTCTGGTATAACCACTAAGCACTACATTTCCTGTAAATAGCTTCATGTCCAAACCTGATTTCATCCTAGTTTAAAGAAACATTAGAAAGCAAATTTGGTAAGAGGTTTCATAGAGATGATCAATGATAAATCACAGAGGATGACACTGAGAGGGCTGTGAACAGAGTGTCCGTCCAGAGCCCTTTTTTTCAGACTGAAGGACATAAGACACTAGCCAGGACTCCATCATCCCTAACCACTGTAAATACAGCCACACTGGCCAAAGAAAGACTGGCTGACTTGGAGTGAAGATTATTCCTCTGTATTACCTTTGTTGAAACAGTTCGGCAGCAAGTCTTTGTTGGAGAGTCCATAAACTACATTATTCAGTAAAAGTTAAAAACCCAGATATCACACTTCAAAGTGATGAGAGTGGAACTGCAGATTGGAACACGATTAAAATCTTGATACCAACTTCTGGTTGATTTACTGAATTAATTTCACAACAAAGAAACATTCAAAATATGTAAAGACTAAAATGCTGCAACTTTTTTTGTGGACTAAAACTATTTAGAAGAAAACTAAAAGACATTTCTATCCAAAGACTAAGACTGAGACTACGGGGTCTATTTTCGTGCCTTGCCGGCGGCATGGCGTAGGCACAGCTTAAGTCAGATCTGCTGCGCCAATGAGACATGCCCAAGCACAATATGTGGGCCTAACTCCGGATTGAATATTCACAGAATTTTAAGGATGTGAGAACATAAGATAAACAGGTAATTTAGAATGAAAGTTTCTTTTATTGTTTTGTTCAAATTTTTGAAGCAAATAACTAATAATCTGATCACTAAAATAAATCATCTGGTCAGCCTTGCCGCCGCAGCAGCAGGACAGGGACAGGACACGGAGACGTGTCCAGGTTCAGCTGCATGAGGAAGAGGAAGAGAGAAAAAGGAGGAGATTAATTAAATATCTTGTTAACTTCTTCATGTGTGACTGTTTACTGGATATTTAATTTATTGTGGTTTCAACTGTGTTAATTCGGTCAGGTCAGAGTGTCAAACACGCTCATCAGATAAGATAAAGATCAGAATATATCGATAAAGATCTAAATGTATGCGCTGACTCAGATAGTTGCACTGAATATCGGTTGTTGTTGATTATTTATTGCACTGAAATGTGCCTGACACTGTGGAAACCTGCCGGTGAGGCATTGGTGACGTGTGTGCACTACGCCTGTACTGAAAGCTGACCAGGTTTGAATCGGCCAACTTTCAGTGCACTTTCCACACCGCCAGTGGGCACAAAAATGTCACAATAGTTCACCCGCAACACGCCCAATATTCACTTGCAATTTTTTAGTTTGCAACTCAGCGCTCGTTATTTGGGATCTCAGTAGGTAAGGCCCCCAGAATTGATCTGAACTGCTGAATTTTGTGAAATTCTAATTTCACATCAGAAAAGTTTTGATGAATGGTCAATAAATGGATTACAGAGGAATTCACTTTAGGATTTATTCTAAAGTTAGTTGACTTGTTTCTCTTACTGTGTAGGCATCAGTCTTGTATCTTTGTGGGATTACTGCTGTTTATTGTTATTAGGTTTTGTGTCAGCTTATCCATGGGGGATGGGGATACTACTACACTCAAAGAGATTTAAAAATCTCAGAGTTTATCTCAGATTTAGGTCATAAAAAGAAACATTTTTTTATTTTTTTCTTCTAGGTAACCTCCTTTTTTCGCCACTTCTTGAAACCATAGACTTAAAAAAAAAAAAAAAGAAAGAAAAACAAAACCCAAATGTATCCAAAGCCTTGAAAACTGAAGACAACCAAAGTGTAAAAACCCTTATCAAGAAGGACACAGTTAGGAAATCTTTAGGGACAATAATAGTCCTTGAGCCAAGAACCAAAATTTCACATATCGGTACCACTTGGGTGGGCAAATTCTAGTTGTGATTTTTTTATTGCTATACATCCCTACAATAAGTTTTTATATGATAGACCTTGGTAACTGGTAGCTTTATTGTAGTTATCACTCATTGAAGTAATAGAGTGCAGCTGTTCAAAAATGAAAAATCGCCTTCCTTCAAAATTAGCTTTCTTTCATTTTAACCTCTCATTTAGGTGTGTTTGAACTATTGGCTAGCCATAGAGACTTGTAATAACCCCCTAAGTAGTATTTCAAGTATTTTATCTAATACAGGTGTGTATATATAAGCTTCAATTAGCCAATCGTCAGGTCTAAATCAAGGTCTAAATAAAGGATATTTTTTTACTTAGAAGTAGAAGTAAAATAAATGCAGACTAATAGCATTATAATAACACAACTTTAATATGACACTGACATATTTTCAATGCAGGAACTCAATTTACAATCATCCTGGCTGGTGCAGGGCAAGAAGACATTAGCAACAACATACGATCTACTGATGTATACACTCTATACAATCATCTGAGAAAACTCCAATTCCTATTCAAAGTCCTATTCTTTCCATAAGGAACAGTGACAGCAAATTTGACTGTCAAGTTTTGGCTTAGTACATAATTCTGTCACTGAGTCACAGTGGGTCTGTTAACATAGCTCCCTTTGGTCATCATTTATTAATCAACATCAGTAATCGACATCAGTATCTGTATCTTCTTCTACATCTGAGTCTGCCGGGTGTGCAAGGGGCTCTTCCTCACTGTACTGGTTGGCACAAGTTTGTAATTTGCACAGGTTTGTGCACTTCAGCCCATTGCTGAGACAGGTGCAGTCTGGTGGTTTGCATGTCCTCACACACTTGCAGGATAGCAACTGCAAGACCGCATCTGGTGCTGGGGAACCACGCATCCACTGTTTTCTAGCTGCCCTTCGTCATTTATGGTCCACGCATGGTCCTTGGGGCTTGGTACAGATGGCTTGGTATGAAGAGACCGTCTCCAGATAGCAGCCTGGTAGTTGGCACGAATCAAATGCATTAATACAATCAATACATAAATGCAATCCTGACATGGTGGAAGCTGGCTGGACTCAACTTTATCCAAGGTCCTGCATGAAGGTGGTGATAGTGAAAGGATTGACGTTGTCTTTGACATTTACAAGGACATGTCAATCAAAAATTCAGAAAGACTAAACAGAGGTGCAGACATGGGGATCCAGTTCAGAAACATTGTTTCTGTCCACAATATTCAGTAGTGGAGGAAACTTCTCTGCAGCCCTGCCAATAAAGCCAGTCTCATCAAGTTCTTGGTGGAGGAATGGAGTTTTTCTCAGATGATTGTATAGAGTGTATACATCAGTAGATCTTATTTTGTTGCTAATGTCTTCTTGCCCTGCACCAGCCAGGATGATTGTATATTGAGTTCCTGCATTGAAAATATGTCACTGTCATTTTAAAGTTGTGTTATCATAATGCTATTAGTCTGCATTTACTTTACTTCTTCGGTCTTGCAGTTGCTATCCTGCAAGTGTGTGAGGACATGCAAATCACCAGACTGCACCTGTCTCAGCAATGGGCTGAAGTGCACAAACCTGTGCAAATTACAAACTTGTGCCAACCAGTACAGTGAGGAAGAGCCCCTTGCACACCGGCAGATTCAGATGTAGAAGAAGATACAGATACTGATGTCGATTACTGATGTTGATTAATAAATGATGACCAAAGGGAGCTATGTTAACAGACCCACTGTGACTCAGTGACAGAATTATGTACTAAGCCAAAACTTGACAGTCATATTTGCTGTCACTGTTCCTTATGGAAAGAATAGGACTTTGAATAGGGATTGGAGTTTTCTCAGATGATTGCATAGAGTGTATACATCAGTGGATCTTATTTTGTTGCTAATGTCTTCTTGCCCTGCACCAGCCAGGATGATTGTATAATGAGTTCCTGCATTGAAAATATGTCAGTGTCATATTAAAGTTGTGTTATTATAATGCTATTAGTCTGCATTTATTTTACTTCTACTTCTAAGTAAAAAAATATCCTTTATTTAGACCTTGATTTAGACCTGACGATTGGCTAATTGAAGCTTATATATACACACCTGTATTAGATAAAATACTTGAAATACTACTTAGGGGGTTATTACAAGTCTCTATGGCTAGCCAATAGTTCAAACACACCTAAATGAGAGGTTAAAATGAAAGAAAGCTAATTTTGAAGGAAGGCGATTTTTCATTTTTGAAAGCTGCACTCTATTACTTCAGTGAGTGATAACTACAATAAAGCTACCAGTTACCAAGGTCTATCATATAAAAACTTATTGTAGGGATGTATAGCAATAAAAAAATCACAACTAGAATTTGCCCACCCAGGTGGTACCGATATGTGAAATTTTGGTTCTTGGCTCAAGTGCTTTGATAGCTGAAAGAACTGCTCCACCATCAAATTGGGCCACTCCCACTTCATCAACTCATTTAATTAGACACAGGTTTGATTCATTTATAGAAAAGAGCAGTGTGACCCAAAAAGAGTGTGACTTTTAATGTGCTTTTGACTTTCTGTGTTGCTTTTGGAGTTAACAAAAATTTGCCTATTGAGGAAAATAACAAAATGAGAAAAAATATAAAAAGCTACCCCTATGAAAAGTCTATCATATTTTAATTTACTTATATTGACCCTAAAAACAATTTAGAATATGTAAGGTTTTGCCCACCCAAGTGGTACCGACATCTGGTCTGGCTCAAGGACTATAAGGGCCTGATTCACTATGGGACTATGCAGCTTTACTCTACTTCCTCTAATCTGTGTATTTATATATAAGACATTGTGTAATTCACAAAGCAAAGGGTCACATGCACCATAACCTTAACTGCACAACAAATAGCATCAGTATCCGACACTGCTGTGTGCATACATTAAAATCAACCACAATGTTTTTATTTGGAGTGAAATAGGACATGTAAATAAGACTTATGGCAAAAACACCAAATGCACAAACTGAGAAGCCAACAGCCACTCTCAAAAGAGAGTGAAACTTTTACTGTCTGCTGAGAGGTAGGGAGGTGGTTGGATTGTCCGCTTTTAATGTGGTCCCCGGGCTCATATTTGGCTCATTCATGCTGACAAGGATGTTATATAGTTGAAAAAAAGAGCTAGGCTCATCATTTTTCAGTTAAGATGACAGACTGTGTTTTATTTTGGGTTTACTTTGGACCACAGTAGCTCAGAGAAGTTTATTGGCACTAATAAACTCTGTAATTACCCATGAGAATAAATAAAACACTGTAAAAGCAACACCCAGCCAATGATGTGCAAAATTTACCACACCTCAAGTACATATGTGTAAGGCAACAAGTCCTCAGTTTAAGTGCAAGTTAAGGCACCGCAGAAATTCCCATTACCTTTGTCCGAGTCCAAGTCGATTCTTCAATGGTAAGTTATTTATCACAAACAGGTTGGTGTTTTTACTCCAAACCGACTGTATGAGACCCATAGACTGTATATAGAACATATACACTACAGGCCGAAAGTTTGAAAGCAAGATCAGATTTGTACAAAAAAAGGTCATAGTTTCATTAATATAATTTGCAACACAATAAACATGACTATTGTGTAAAGAGTAACTTATCAGAAGACATTTTGACTATAATTATTAGGTATTTGAGTTATTGTTGCTTAGACTTTGCTTTCTTTAAAGTAACCTCCTCTGGCTTTCACAACAGCTTGGCATATACCAGGCATTCGTTCCACAAGTTGTATTTCCCCCGCAATCAAGCAGCTGTCGGATTGTGGATCTGAAAGCGCTCACATCTCTGCAGGTCAGGAAACACTCTACTGTTCGGCCCCATAGCAAGGATCCTCCATATGCAACCCAGGCTTCCGGTTTTGACTTTCAAAATAAAATGCAAACCACATCACAACCCGTTCACCATCAAGACTTATCTAAGACTTAACACTGCACCAAAACAACACCTAACTGTGCTTTATTTTGGCGTAGGCTATAAATTAAAAGCATAGACTCAGTAAGACTAATTAGGCCTTAGATCTGAGTCAGAAAGAGATCGGGGAGTGAGTCGGTCGATCCCCACTAAGAAATCGATTTTAAAAGTTTTCTTTGGATCCATGATTACTGTTATCATAGTACCTTTCAGACCAGATTAAAGAGACAGAAACAATAAACAGTGTCAGGTTTTTTTCCTGTTTTTTTTCTCCTTTTTTTGCCTGACTGATAATAATGATAAAAAAAAAAACAGGCAGAAAACTGAAAGAAAAAAACACACAAAAAAAATAAAATAAAGGGAAAAAAAAGTATTTCTGAAAAAAAAAAAAACTACTGGAAAGAAAATTAAAAAACAACAAACAAAAGCACCCATAACCCGGTGTTTTTCACACAAAAAAAAAAAATAAACCTTGCGGTTTTCCCTCCCATGGGAGGGTTTTTATCCCCCTCCTCGAGCTACCACCTTACCGTGGTGGAGGGGTTTGTGTGTCCCAATGAGAGTTAATTCTGATTTACTCTTGCTGTTGTCAAAAAGTGCTAAAATTTCTCTGAATTTCGCATGTTAAGTAGGCCCATGTCAGTTTTAATCCTTGCAGGACTCTTGTTTTCACTTTTCATCAGCAGAGGAAAAGCTTTTGGATAACTGATTAATATAGAGTTCAGGGGAAAGTATATCTGCAATGTATAATCAATAATGACTTTATCTTCATGAGTAAATATGATTTGTACATTTAAAGAGAACTATTTTTTAATTTTGGTTCAACAATGGACAGAAGTAGACAGGCAAGATGGCGTCTGTAAAGTTCAGTTTAACAGCTGGTGTGTCATACTAAGTTTTCTTAATTAACTCATCAATACATATCAATTCATAAAGCATCTATTACAAAAACAGCTCAAATCAATGTGGGTTAACAGCAGGTTTGAAAAATACATGATTGTTATAGGGTGTGCTTTTGTTTACATTTAAATGTGAAAAATTCAAATGTAAACAAACAACAAGAGAATATGGCATCAAAGGAACAATTCCGTGATGACATCATTATGACATCATCATGGCTTTCATCTCGTGTTACTAACTAGAAGTAGAGCAGCTGTCTAGGATATCGTTTGAACCTTTCAGCGAGTAGCTACACTTAAAGAAAGAGACAATCGAAATCTTTTAGCAGCGGAACTCTGAGACTACAAACAGTCAAAGACAATGCAGCGACCAACAGAGAGAGAGGAGACACTCCGCAGGACTGTGGCTCAGCTCACTGGACAGCTGGAGAGTGAGAAGAACCGAACACTCTTGCTCAGCCAGGAGTTGGAGGTGACTCAACAGAAGCTGACCAGGACTGTGACTCAGCTCGAGGGAGAGAAGAACCGAACACTCTTGCTCAGCCAGGAGTTGGAGGTGATTCATCAGAAGCTGACCAGACAAAGGGCTCTCAAGGAAGTGTACATTAACAAAGGGAAGGAGCTCAAAAAGGAGCTGCAGATGCTTCAAAAGTACAGCTCAGAGGAGACCCTCTCCAAACACAGAATTGCTCTTAAGGTGAGGGACACGAGCCGGCAGAAGAAGAAGAAGGATCTTCATGTCGATTACGAGGAGCTGAAGGTGGCACATATTGTGGAAAATGAGAGGCTCACAACACAAGTCCAGGAACTGACTGAAAGAAACACGGTCCTCCATGAAGAACAGGAGAAGACAAGAACCTCATACCAAGCACTGAAATTCCAGTATGCAACTGATCTCACTGCTGCGAAACAGGAAGTTGAGACCCTTCAGCGTGAGCTGCAAAATCAGGCTCACCATGATGGACTCTTACAGGAACAGACCATCCAGATCCTGAGAGCCGAACAGGACTCCATGACGGAGAAGATTGCTGTTCTGCAGCAGGCAGCTTTTGAAACAGAGAGGAGGCACTGGGCTGAGCTGGAGGAGCTGAAACAACAGCTCTACATTCAGACAGCCGGTATGATGGACAACAAGGAGCTTAAAGTGGCCCAAGAAACCAGCTTTAACAATGAAAAAAACAAAAAAACAAATGAACTCTCAACTGAGCTTCAACTTCGAGAGACAGAAATCAGGCAAAGTGAGATGACGCTTCAGGAGCAGGACTTCATGGACATGGACATCGAGCAGTTTTGCATGGAGTTGGAGAAAACTGCAGAAACTTCTGGAGCTGAAGAACTGGCAGGAGCTTTAGAAATCGAAGTGACTGCTGGATCTCCAGAACTAGTTGGAACAGCAGGACCAGCAGAGACACCAACCTCTAATGCCACCAAACCACCTTCTTCAGTCTGGAAACAAACAAGACACTTCTTGGGGTTAAGAAAGCCTGAGAAGTGGAAGAAGAAGTAACTTCCTCGAAGTAAGGAAGTACTTTAAAAAAGAAGAAAACTCTTCAAAAAGAGATCTCCAAAAAAAAATAAATAAATAAAAAAAAAAAAAAAAAAAAAACCTTAAAAATGGCAGAATACTTGGAAAAAAAACATAAGAAAACTAAAAAAATATATTAAATAGAAAAGTATTTCTGAAAAAAAGAAAACAAAAAAAAAACCTTAAAACAGGCAGAAAAAAGAGAAAACTAAAAAAAAGAAAAAGAATAGTATTTCTGAAAACAAAAAAACAAACAAAAAAACACCCTAAGAAAAGTAAAAAACAAAAAGAAAAATAATAATATTTCTGATTCTTGGGGTTAAGAAGGCCTGAGAAGTGGAAGAAGAAGTAACTTCCTCGAAGTAAGGAAGTACTTTAAAAAAAAAAAAAAAACTCTTCAAAAAGAGATCTCCAAAAAAAATAAAAAATAAAGAAAACCAAAAAAAAAAAAAAAATACTGATGAAAAAACAAAAAATAAAAAAAAACTTATAATGGGCAAAAAAAAATAAATAAAAAAAAAAAAAAAGTTTTTCTAAAAAAAAAAAAAAAAAAACCTTGCGGTTTTCCCTCCCATGGGAGGGTTTTTTCCCCTCCTCGAGCTACCACCTTACCGTGGTGGAGGGGTTTGTGTGTCCCAATGATCCCAGGAGCTATGTTGTTGGGGGCCTCCGAAGGGTCACCCAAGGCAAACAGATCCTGGGGGAGGGACCAGACTAAGAGTAGCTCATCCAGACAGAGGTGCCAGGAAAAAAAAAAAAAAAAAAAAGCAAAATCACCCTAAACAAGGCGTTTTGCACAAATTATTATAATAATAAAAAACAGGAAGAAAACTGGAAAAAAAAACTAAAAAAAAAGTATTTCTGTAAAAAAAAAATTGGAAAGAAAATTAAACAACAAAAAACAAAAACACCCATAACCAGGTGTTTTGCACACACACACACAAAAACCTAAGAGTAGCTCATCCAGACAGAGGTGCCAGGAAAAAAAAATAGGAAAAAAAAAACTGGAGAAAAAAAACTAAAAAAAAAGGGAAAAATCACTCCAAACAGGATGTTTTGTACAAATAATAATAAGAAAAAAAACTAGCAGAAAACTAAAAAAAAAAATAACACTAAAAATATAAAAAGGAAAAAAAAAGTATTTCTGAAAAAAAAAAAAAAAAAACAGCTAGAAAGAAAATTTAAAAAAAAAGCAAAATCACCCTTAACCGGATGTTATGCGCAAATAATAATAAAAAACAGGAAGAAAACTGAAAAAAAAATAACTACAATAAATAAAGAAAAAAAAAGTATTTCTGAAAAAAAAAAATTGGAAAGAAAATTAAAAAACAAAAACACCCATAACCAGGTGTTGTGCATTAAAAAAAAAAAAAAAACTTGTGGTTTTCTCCCCCATGGGAGGGTTTTTTCCCCTCCTCGAGCTACCACCTTACCGTGGTGGAGGGGTTTGTGTGTCCCAATGATCCCAGGAGCTATGTTGTTGGGGGCCTCCGAAGGGTCACCCAAGGCAAACAGATCCTGGGGGAGGGACCAGACTAAGAGTAGCTCATCCAGACAGAGGTGCCAGGAAAAAAAAAAAAACTGAAGAAAAAAAAACTTAAAAAAAAAACAAAAAACAAAATCACCCTAAACCAGGCGTTTTGCACAAATTATTATAATAATAAAAAACAGGAAGAAAACTGGAAAAAAAACTAAAAAAAAAGTATTTCTGTAAAAAAAAAATTGGAAAGAAAATTAAACAACAAAAAACAAAAACACCCATAACCAGGTGTTTTGCACACACACACAAAAAAACCTTGTGGTTTTCCCTCCCATGGGAGGGTTTTTATTCCCCTCCTCGAGCTACCACCTTACCGTGGTGGAGGGGTTTGTGTGTCCCAATGATCCCAGGAGCTATTTTGTTGGGAGCTTTATGCCTCCAAAGGGTAACCCAAGGCAAACAGATCCTGGGGGAGGGACCAGACTAAGAGTAGCTTATCCAGACAGAGGTGCCAGGAAAAACAAATTGGAAAAAAAAACTGGAGAAAAAAAAGGAAAAATCACTCTAAACAGGATGTTTTGCACAAATAATAATAAGAAAAAAAAACTTGCAGAAAACTAAAAAAAAATTACACTAAAAATATAAAAAGGAAAAAAAAAGTATTTCTGGAAAAAAAAAACAACAACAGCTAGAAAGAAAATATAAAAAAAAAGCAAAATCACCCTTAACCGGATGTTATGCGCAAATAATAATAAAAAACAGGAAGAAAACTGATAAAAAAAAACAACACTACAATAAATAAAGAAAAAAAGTATTTCTGAAAAAAAAAATTGGAAAGAAAATTAAAAAACAAAAACACCCATAACCAGGTGTTGTGCATTAAAAAAAAAATAAACCTTGTGGTTTTCCCTCCCATGGGAGGGTTTTTATTCCCCTCCTCGAGCTACCACCTTACCGTGGTGGAGGGGTTTGTGTGTCCCAATGATCCCAGTAGCTATGTTGTTGGGGGCTTTATGCCTCCAAAGGGTCACCCAAGGAAAACAGATCCTGGGGAAGGGACCAGACTAAGAGTAGCTCATCCAGACAGAGGTGCCAGGAAAGAAAAAAAAAACTTAAAAAAAAACAAAAAACAAAATCACCCTAAACCAGGTGTTTTTCCACAAATAATAATAATAATAATAATAATAATAATAATAATAATAATAATAATAATAATAAATAAATAAATAAACAGGAAGAAAACTGAAAAAAACACTTAAAAAAAAGGAAAAAAAACTATTTCTGAAAAAAAAACTGGAAAGAAAATTAAAAAACAAAAAAACAAAAAAACACCCATAACCGGGTGTTTTGCACAAAAAAAAAAAAAAAACCTTGTGGTTTTCCCTCCCATGGGAAGGTTTTTTATTTTATTTTTTTAGTTTTCTTCCTGTCTTTTTTATTATTATAATTAGTGCAAAACATCCAGTTTAGGGTGATTTTGCTTTTTTTTTTTTTTTCCTATTTTTTTTTCCTGGCACCTCTGTCTGGATGAGCTACTCTTAGTCTGGTCCCTCCCCCAGAATCTGTTTGTCTTGGGTGACCCTTCGGAGGCATAAAGCCCCCAACAACATAGCTCCTGGGATCATTGGGACACACAAACCCCTCCACCACGGTAAGGTGGTAGCTCAAGGAGAATAAAAACCCTCTCATGGGAGGGAAAACCACAAGGTTTTTTTTTTTTTTTTTTGCAGAAATAGTTTTCTTTCTCTCTCTTTTTTTTAGTTTTTTTAAAGTTTTCTTCAGTTTTTTTTTTTTTTTTTTTTTTCCATTTTTTTGCCTGGCACCTCTGTCTGGATGAGCTACCTCAAGGTTTTCCTTTTTTGTGCAAAAAAAAAAAAACAGTCTATACAACTTGGACAATTTGGTTCCGCCTACAGCCTGTATATGAATTTGAAGCCAAATAGCTCTCGGTATTCTGGGATTTTTCTTCATTTCCTGAAACCAGCATTGTGCAGTTGCGAAGCCTGCATTCGGGCGTGCAGTCACCGGGAGTCACTGTGATGACGCTCGGCTCAAACAGCGTACCCCCTGGGAGAGCTATGCAATCCCTGAACGCCCATAGGCTGTATAAGGTGTCAATCATAGAAAACATGAACCCCCGAATAACTTTTAAAAACAGAGCTGTACAGAAAAAAGAGGACTTGAGCACAAACCAGTCTGATAGTAACTACATGTCAACATCACAACCAAGGGGGAGAAAAATGTATATTCTGTGTAATGAATTACAAAAAGTTTGTCTACAGCTTCATATGGATTGCTGGAGGAGGCGGGATTTATGACCTATACTGCAGCCCATCAACAGAGGGTGCTGTTCTCGGAGTGGCTTCACTCAGCAAGGAGGCAGACTCTGTCCATTCTTTATACAGTCTATGATCATGACAAGTTCATTTTTACAAACTTGTTTGCCAAGGCAACATAGCCAAACACTCTCGTCTCCCAGTCCCAGAAGCTATAAATTGAACCGAATCCTGAACTGTTCAGCCGTGTATCAGTTCAGGAGGTCGGAGTCGCAGGCTTCTCCTGCCAGGCGCTGAATGATTCAGTGATTTGGTGAACGAGACTTTTGAACGAATCTTTTTAGTGAGCTGATTCTAGTGATCCAGTACATCTTAAAGAACTGCCATGCCCATCACAATCAGATTTAGCAGATCTGAGCCTGTTTTCAAAATCCTCTTCTTTAATATTACAAAATTAGTAAAAGACCCCCTCTCTGATAGTATCAGTTTGGTTTAAGATTAAGCAATCATCAGAGGTTACTAGTGAACTAGTGTGTGTTTTTGACATGTGATATCAAGGATATCGAATAAATACTCACTTGGCTTTTCATAGAAGCAGAGTAATTGTTTTGTGTTACACTACAGGCCAAAAGTTTGGAAAGCAAGTAGATTTGTACAAAAAAAGACCATAGTTTCATTAATATAATTTGTAACACAATAAACATGACTATTGTGTAAAGAGTAACTTATTAGAAGACATTTTGACTATAATTATTAGGTATTTGAATTATTGTTGCTTTGACTTTGCTTTCTTTAAAGTAACCTCCTCTGGCTTTAACAACAGCTTGGCATATACCAGGCATTCGTTCCACAAGTTTTTCTAAGGTATGTTCCAGGGATTGCATTCCAAGCTTTCTTAAGTTCATTAAAGAGATACTGCTGATTCGTGGGACGTGTTTTTCTGACCGGTCTATCCAATTCATCCCACACAAGCTCTATTGGAGAAAGGTCTGGAGACTGAGGGGGCCAAACCAGCTTTTGAAGAACACCTTCCTCTTCTTTTTTTGTCTAGGTAACCCTGACAGAGCTTGGCAGAGTGTTTAGGGTCATTGTCCTGCTGCAAAACAAAGTTATGAGCCACAAGTCTTAGTCCAGATGGAGCAGCATGGTGCTGGAGGATGGAGTGGTACTGTTCCTTCTTCAAAAAAATCTCCTACTCCATCACCTGCAAAACATCCCCATACCATGGAACTGCCACCTCCATGCTGAATTGTGGGTGTAACACATGGTGCTTTCAGACGTTCACCAGTTTGTCTGCGGACATAGACTCTGCGTTTTGAACCAAACAGTGAAAACTTGTTTCTAGTTATCATAGGTCAAATTTTTGTGAGCTTTTGCCCACTCATATCTCTTTTTCTAGTTCTGTGGACAAAGTAGCGTTTTTTTTTTTTTGCAGATACACAACCCTTTAGACCAGCCTTTCTCAAACATCTTTTCACGGTTGTCAGAGATATGGGTTTCGACCTTGTCATGTTGATTTCCTCCCTTGTTTTTGGTGCTGTCTTTTGCTGATCTCTCTTACTGGTGACAATGCTATGTTTATCCTCTGCTTTTGTAGTAACTCTCTTTCGTCCAGGTCTTTTTCTCATATCATCATAACTTCCAGGTCCCTCTAGTCTCTTCAGAGTGTAGTGGACTCCTTTGTTAGACACCACTAGGCGTTTTGCAATTTCTCTTTCTGTGTATCCTTCTTTTCTCAATGTACTAATCTGTACTTTTGTTTCTTTACTCGATTCCTTCTAGCCATTTTTAGGGTAGTTTGATGCAGTTGAGATTTATTTGGATTTTTGTATGCAGACTCTCAAAAGCCAAAAAGTTGAAGTGAATAATCCAATTGTGATTTTTTTTTTTTGCTTTTGCACAGAAGTTGTGACTCTTGCAAATGTCTTCGACCCTAAAACCAAGCCCTTATTATTTTTTGCTGACATATATTTAGCAATGGTCTGTTAACATCAATGTATATCTAAAGGTAAACGGAGTAAAATGGTGCATTTCAATGAAAGCAACATCTGATCATAGAGTAAATACATCCCAAAATACATAAAACTTGTGCTAGATTTTTAAAAAAGCATTGTGAACAAAAACTTGAAGTTACTCCCAACTGTTTAGCCTGTAATGGCCTTGCTTCCAAACTTTTGGCCTGTAGTGTATATATATATATATATATATATATATATATATATATATATATATATATATATTTATATTAGGGCTGTCAATCGATTAAAATATTTAATCGTGATTAATCGAATTTTGATCATAATTAATCATGATTAATTGCAAATTGATCGCATATTTTTGATCCATTTTAAATCGATCTTTTTCAAATTGCAATACTTTTATCAGCATGAGAATCAACACGAGAACAGATCGTTGATTTTCGTGGATGCGATTTGTATGATTTCGCAGACCAACGTCCTGCACAATGCTAATCGGCCGACAAGCGGTAGCCACCCATTTAGCGATCGCTGTTTCAAGTTTGCGTTTAGTAGAGCTCTCCATCTGTTTACCTTGCACATTCAGCATTGTTTGCTTGAGGCGGGGATACGCGGGGCTCTCTGCATCAGCTGTGTGCTTGGCCGACATGTGATATTTGAGACTGGACGTACTCCGGTGGTAACTAAATTCAGCTCGGCAGGAAACACAAATGACTTTTGTCCTGTCAAGAGAGCCATTTGGCAAGGCTTTGTAGCTGAACTCTCCGTTCAAAATAGTGTTCTTATCCATTATATCCTAGTTACTGCTCACAGGGATTTGTTTATGTCTGCTGCGGTATCAGTCAGTGCACTACTTCCTGATTCGCGAAACTACGGAGTGCCCCGAGGCTCACATAGCCTGGACACCTCACCAACTGTTCCTCTACAACGGCAAGAATATCCACGCAGTGTGTGTATAGTTTGGTCAAGCCAGGCTAAGGCTTGCGTTAATCGTGCGTCAAAAAAATTAGTGGCGATAAAAGTCACTCGAGTTAACGCGACAATAACGCGTTAACTTTGACAGCCTTAATATATATACAGTCTATGGTGAGACCCTCTGGATGTGAGGAAATCACTTAGCTATGAAAAGACCATATCCGCCGGTCGTAGCTGATAGTTACCATTCAAGTTAATGTGTCAATTTCCGCCAGCTTCTTTCCAATCTGCTGCCAGACTCGCCAGACTCCGCAGCAAAACGAAGAGTTTCGTTTTTTCCAGACGCCGGAGCCGGATAAATTCAGCACAGATTAGCCTGTGCTGGAAAGGAAGTCAAACACAGACACAAAATAAAACACCCGGCTTCTTTTCAAAATAAAGCACTCCATGTTTCAGGCGGATCGTATTTCACACCATGCAAACGGGCGGGGACGAACAAGTGAAAGGTTTTTAGAAAGCATTTCATCCAGATGACACCATAGATGAGAAGATGCTAATTTTATAGGTCTATAAGTAGATTTCCTCCTCTGGAAGGACACAATCTACTGCTTATATGGTAAGCCTATGTTGCTAAAGACAATTTGATATCGTGTGATTGCACGTGGATCCACGGATTCTTGTGAATTCTCGCGATTCCTACTATCTGTAATCCACCACGAAAGTCGCCTCACAAATGGATCTGGTAGGAATTGGTGGACGGTGAAAATCACTGCCGTTCTGGATCAGAGCCATTCTGGATGTGGTGAAAATTGTAATTGTTAAAAACATGTCATCCACATTGTGAATAACAAAGCAGATATCCTCTTGTGTGTTTAGATGACAGTATGAGCCTTCAGCCAAATAGTCTCCCAACAAGTTTATTATTTGAGTTTATTATACATTTCCAGAGCAGCAGATTTCTCCATGTTTGATTGGTAAAACTCACTGAATTGGGGTTGTCTTGGCCTTGAAGATAAACCTGTCTATAATTCTTTAGTAGAATTTAATCATTTATTTCGTTTAGGAATCCTCAATGATTGAGGACTCAGGATCAAAGCTTATGAGGCTCTTTCGACTCAGAATTGAGGTACAGATGAAAAAAAATGAACGCAAGCAAGTTCATTTCTGAACCATGAACTTCGATTTATATTAGAAAATAAAGAGCTATGAACCCGAACTAGTTCATTTATATTTGTGTGCAGCTATACCAACACACATTTGGGGATTTCCATGGGGCAATTATTTCAAAAATGTCTTTTAACAGTCATATCCAGTGCATCCTCCATCATATGAAGCCGGCACCGGTTGTTGAAAACAGTAAATCTCTGCAGAAGCACATCAAACAGCAGCCTGTGATTTTCATGGAGCAGCACTGGATTCAGAGGGAAGATTTAAGAGAAGGGCAGCCTCTGGAGATGTCTGTTCATGATGTTTATGAGTTCAGCCCATGGTCCTGATGGAAAACGCGGCAGCTCTGAGAAAGTCACACACAACAAGTGTGTGCGTGCGTGGTGTGCTTGTTTTGTAAATGGAAAGGAAAAACACTTCATTATGTAGGAGGGCGAGCAGAAAGAAGAGAGACACACTAAAAGGAGGGGGGGTGAGGGAGGCCTGAGAGAGAGAGAGAGAGAGAGAGAGAGAGAGAGAGAGAGAGAGAGAGAGAGCTCTGCTGCTCGCGCCTCCCCGCGGTGCGCTCTGGACGCACATCAGGCGAACAGGCTGGAGGTCTGCGACAGAGCGGAGGACCCGCACAGGCGGACTGACGCGCGGCTCTCCCCGGGAATTATCGCGGTTTGTCCGAATCGGAGGGAGGCTGTCCCGCCGGCTTCTGCAGCGTCTCTCTCACGTGGAGGAGCGGGGATGTGATGGGTGCTGGAGCGGAGTCTGGAGATGATGAAGAGCAGGTTTCTGATCTCGAAGTTGGGTTGTTACTTCCACGCGACGCTCGGAGGGGGATAACGGAGACGCGACGCTTTCACAGACGGATTTAAATCATTCCTTAAATTTGCAGAGCCACTGATTCTTTCTGCTCCACATGTGGGATTCATGATGCTCCAGCTCACCTTTGGATCGTACACGTTGCCCGGCTGATGAAGCGGGATTGTGGTCTTTGAATGCCCACTATCTGAGTGAACAGGACGCTCCACATCCAGGTCAACTGACCGTCTCATGTCTGCGTGAAGAGCCCCACTGTGACATGGAAACACCGGGACTCTACAGGCTGCTGTACTACTTCATCCTCAACTGGCCCTTCATGTGCTGTGCGCACGGTAAGTGGAGAGATCAGGCTATATTATCTATAGGAAGCAGCTGTCTGTGCCTTTGCACTGTACAACTGTTGATTGATAGAGTGAAGAGGAGGAGGAGTGCAGAGCAAACAGCTGAACAGTAAAAACAAACGCAGCTGTGCTCCATCACAGCTTCCTGCTCGCCATTATTTGATCAAATAAAGCCGGAGGCAGATTATAGGTCACAGCAGCTCTAATAAAACTGTCAGAGTCTATAAATTACGTCTAATGGGGACTATAGGATGAGGGCTTACTGCCTGAATACTGCTGCCAGAGGACGGACGAGCCAAACTAGGGCTTATGAAACATGTTTCCACTCATTAATCTCTGCCTCTCTCCACATCTCCCTCCGAACCTAAAGCTGCATTTACTGAAGTCCCTAAAGATGTGAGTGTGGGGGAGGGAGAAGACGTGGAGATGCCCTGCGCCTTCAAGGCGGTCAGCGCAACGCCGATGTCTCTGGAAATCCAGTGGTGGTACCTGAAGCAGGACGTGCCCAAAGACCTGAGCCATGAGCTGCAGATCAGCGCTCCATCCAACAGGGACTACAAGGTGACTGTTACACTGGTATCACCAACACAGTCCATCAGCACAAATAACACCTTAAATACTGGGCTCTGGGGATGTGTATCTCCACCACTGAGGCCGATTTGATACACATCTCGATATGCTGCCACCGATACATGCATTAATAACACACTGAACCCCCCTGGTACCATGCAATATGATTTACTCCTGTTCACATACAATGCCTTTCAAAAATTATTTGGTTGGTGAGACTTGGTTTAATATGTGATCCAGTTTGATCCAGTTAGTTTTGGTACTTGAGTTTATTAGCCCACATCAGGTTTCTTACTCTCTGTAAAGGTTGGGTTAGTACTCAGTAGCCTACTTGATATTTGGTTTGTTTTTATGGAGCAAACCATTAAATCTCATTTTAAAGAAAAGACACAGTCCAGTATGTACGGACAGACCATTTGATTTTATTTATATAAAGCACTTCTTAGTCCTAGCATATATGATATGCCGTGACTGTGATATATGACTAAGTGGTACAGGATGTCCAGTCATTCACAGTGATAGCAACTCTTTGGGCATTACTCAGGGATTCCACTACCTCTCTTTTCACTTGGTTGTACAGAGCACGAGTTTGTGTGTCAGTAAAGAATGCCCTTTGTGGTATTTTATACCTTGGGTCTAAAATGTGAAGGACTTGTTTGAGTCCCTCATTCTCTACGACGGGGTAGGGCTGAATATCTTTGCAGATAAACTAGCCTATGGCATTAGTTGTGGTCTGGGAATGGGCAGAGTTAGCAGCTAGAGGAATGTTGTGTCCAAAGAAACTTGTGATAGACCTGCTTTCAGTCTCAGCTTTGCTACCACTCAGTGTAACTGGTGCTTCGGTAGAATCCGAAGGAGAGGAGGGGGGAGCAGCAAGCAGCGGTGCATTCAGATTGCCTTGGAAACACCATAGGGCAGGGAATAGATAGAGTAGAATATGATATAATTGATTTAACCATGGATTTTACCAAAGCAGACAGGCTAGAAGTGATGCACTGCAAATTCACCCATAAATAACATCTGATGCACCCCAGATTTACTGATGCAATCACATTACAAATGTTTGTATCGAATTGATAAATCTCACCACTCCTACTGGGCTCTGACTGGTTGTTGGGCGTTGGTTAAATCCTGACACTGGACACCTAATTCTTAGAATCAGTTAAGATAGATTTCCACTGTTCCTGATGAATGTACTGGCTTCATACCAGTCTCCATTAAAAATAAGTTACCATAGATAGAGTTCTCACCTGTCGAGTTAGAAGTGCTTGTAATGAAAAAAAGAAAAACGGTAAAACTGTTTACCTTTTAAAGAAATCTACACCTTGCATGGTGTGTGTGGATGGAGAAATTAGATATTTAGACCAAAATCCTTTTTTGTACCAGGCTGTAAACACATTTATTTTGGTTTGAAGACAGTCTTTTTTGAATGGGTGTGTATGTGACACTATTAGCTTTTGAAGCCAGCCTCAAGTGGACACTTCAGGAACTGCGTCTTTTGGCACATTTACATCAGTTTTGTTTTCTGGCTGAAAAGGTTAGTCCCTCCAGTGTTCAAAGTGACTTGTGTGCTTGTCCACACTCTTGTCCACATTTACAGCAGTCATATGTCCTACCACAATATGACCACTTGCAGTCATATGTCCAACATTAAATCACAGTTGACCTTATTATAGTAACACTGACTTTAGACTAAAACTATGCATATAGATGAGCTGTATTTGGTAACAAAAAAACAAAGTGACTCAAACTAAACTCACCAGCAACTCTGAAATGAGGTGACTCACCCGAGTGCACGCAGAGAACATGAAACATTATGGCCCTACATGCATCACCCTGTGGTTTTTACACTTGGTTGGTCTCTGTAATCAGTGGTTGCTTGAGGTCGCCATCTGCATCAGTCGTGAGATTCATCACACACTCATGAGATGAAATCTAACCAAACTCATTCTTTCTTTTATGTATTTAATGACTTTGTTGGTGGCTCTGATGAACCGCTCACTTATAAATCCATTTTTGCTGCAACAGATACAGAAGACTTGAAAGTGATTGTATAGCAGTGATCCAGTTGTGCCCTCTTTCCATTTATTTGGCATACATTAGAGAACTATTTTAGCCTTGACTGTTTGTATAAGCTAATCATGGTTGAAAATGCGAGGGATTTGTGGACAAATATTCAACTAGCACCCCTTTGCCATCCACTCAGGGGCAGACAGATGGTGTCATGTGTCATGCATAAAGTGAATGGCTCATTTCTTTATTCATGGTAACTGTACAGGTACATTTTACTCACCTGCTTCGATTATGCAGAGGCACAACTGTGTAAAAACGAGCTAATTTGGCTGACAGGTGGATGTGTTGTAGCTGTTTGCTCGGTGATTATGTCTGTGTCTTCAGCGCCATCTTTTTGTCTATTTCTAGATGAGCTGGAAGTTATTTGGAGTCAGCATTTTGGTGACCACTAAAACTGGAAGAAAGGACTCAAATCCAAACACTGTTTTAACGACTTAAAAGCGTCATCCTCAGGGACAGTTACTGGTGAATATAGACACTTGCAATGTCTTTGGCTGTTATAGAGGGTCCCTATTGCACTATTTTTGAAAGAGAATAGAGATGCTATTCTGTATCTACAGCTCTGTACAAACTGAGGCACCTGTTTTCAGCGGAAAAATAGAGACCATTTACTGATAAGACCACCCTTTCAAAACTTGTGTGACACCCAAAAACCTTTTCTGGCCTTGGCAAAGACAAAGTGTGTTGTAGCCACAGTGTAGATATAAATCATTTACACGTTAGGTAAATCGTTTAAATGATTGAATAACATCCAGCTGCACTAGATATTTCCTCCCCTGTGTTTTCCTTCCTGTACTTCCTCATTCTCTCTCTCTGTACTCAGCTGTTTTTGTGCCTCAGCGTAAATTAAAGACCATTTTTTATGTAAATAAGATCACTCTCTGAAAGCCTAAGCCCTGAAACAAACTTCTCTACTTGAGAGAGCAACTTGTTAAGTAAAGAGTGATTAAAAATACATCTATTTTACAAACATGTATAAAATTGTAATTTATAGTAGCTATATATAAATATATAAAAAATTTATATTAAACTAAACATATTTCTTAGTTTAGTAAATGTTGCCTTGGTGATAATACAACTAAATCTTCTAGCCTGCAGGATTCCTCCTGTCTGTCAGACTACCGACATTAACACTGCTCCCCGCCTCTTCTTGCAGTTGTACACGACTCTCAGACTAGAAAACTTTACAGCATCTCATCAGTTAGCATAAATGACTACTGTTAAACTCAGAGGTGTGGTGCTGCTGGGATGACCTTAAATGATACGTGACTATAAGTTATCAACAAACAAGTAGCCTCAACGGTGAGACCTTAACATACAATGTCAGAGGGGTTAACTCATCATGAAGTTGCTCAGCAGTTAAGAAAGATGTTGAATCTCCCTTCATGCACACAGAACAGACAGTAGAAGTTAACAGTTTTAGCTTGAACTCCATTAAGTCTGCATACAGCTGTTGCTCGCCAACTCTGATGTCAGAAAAACTGGGTGAAACTTGCCCATTTTGTTTACTTTATCATGACATCTGTGCACATGTCGGCTTATATCAGAGCACTGAAAGGTAAAAAAAAAAAAAGAAAAAAACGCACCCAGGAGAGGAGTTTTCATCGAAGTTGGCACGAACTTTAGTGCCAGACAGGTTCAAAACGTGGGGTCACGTGTGCATGCTCCACTGATTTAGCTCAATCATTTTCAGTTGATGATATCACAGGGAGGTAATAAATACATTTTAGGTTACTTTCATGGAAAAAAATGGTTTTGTTTTATTTAATTTATTTTTAGCAGGCAAACAAAATATATTATGTGTCACGTCTGAGAGAGGCTTGAATCATTTTTTTTAGTACAATGTCTCAAAACTAAAATTCTGCATTAGCCCTCACTGCTCACAAAAACTAAGACAACTTTGGTTACAATTAGAGAAAACCATCCAAAAATCAAAAATGTAGTAAACACTTCATAGCAGTGTTATAATGATTGGTAACATTTAAGGTTTTCAATACCCTTTACTTAGAAAGTGGAGAGTCATCTGGGGGAATATTGAATTTCTCTGTTACAATAAATAAATTGATTTATTGTACTAATCATTCAAAATACATGTAAAGATTTTAGTTTGATTAAAATTGCACTGAATCAACTTCTCATAGTCGATTAACATATCTTGATAATGCAGTTGAGGATCAGTTTTTTCTTACATGTATGCTGCTCAGTCAAACGGAAACTGACCAGAGTGTTTTGCACATGCTCTAGTGTTGACACGCCAAGCACTGCCAGGTAGTAAACAAAACCTTGGCAGATGAAGAAAAGACATAAGAAGAGATGGCACTTCCCTTTCACAGAAATAAACAGTTAAGAGCTGTAAAAGTGACAGTGTTTCATCATTCGTCGTACATCCAGTTTGCCTCTTGCTCACTTGTTTTGCCGACTTTTTTGATACTATATTTATCAGCCAGGACATGACCTGGTAGTAACAAGCTGAAAGGGGGATTCACAACCTACAGTAGTGAAGGTGGACATGCTTTTTTCAATAATTTGATCTGGAAACGGATCCGGATCCGTTTGTGAGGCGAATTTCGTGGTGGATCACAGACAGCAGGAATCGCAAGAACTCACAAGAACCCACGGATTCACATGCAATCGCATGATATCAAGTTGTCTTTCGACACGTAGGCTAACCATATAAGCAGTAGATTGTGTCCTTCCAATGGGGGAATCTACTTCTAGACTTCTGAAATCAGCATCCTCTCATCCATGGTGTCAACGGGATGAAATGCTCTCTGAAAACCTTTTACTGAGAAATACGATCTGCCGGAAACACGGAGCGTTTTATTTGAAAGGAAGCCGTATGTTTTATTTTGTGTCTTGTGTTTTAATCTGTGCTGAATTTATCCGGCATATAGAACTCTTGCAGTCAGCTGCGGAGTATGGCAATCCGCAGTGGAACGGAAAGAAGCTGGTTGAATTTGACACATTAACTTGAATGGTTATGATCAGCTACGGTGGATAAGGCCTTTTCATCGCTGTTCCGGATGTGGTGCAAATTGCCCGTTAATCACCTGATTTAGTTTTAGCTGTAGCTCGCCTCAACTTTGCGTGTAAACAAACTGATATGCTCTTTATCTTTGTTAGCAACCTGAAGGAAACCATTTATTGTTGTCCTGCTTTAAACAGTTGCCACAACCATCAACCACAAATATACTGTACATGCTTTAAGGACTCTAAACAAATCATCCATCTGCTGAGAGAGAGTGTACATGTCAGCCAGTGTGCTCCCATTTGTTAGTGTAAAACTGGAGAACAAGTAATCCCACATATTCAAACTGACCTGTGATATCTTCCACCCTGACTAAATCAACCTGCAGACTGATGATGTTAAACATGCCTGAAAGATTTTCTTTTGCCTCTAAGCCCCGCCCACCTAAAAAAAAAATCACACTAAAAGGGCCACATGCATATGGAGCTACAGCCCTTGGTGTTTTTAGCTACAATGAGCTCATCACAAACAGCCCCATGATAAGTTCAACCACTGAGCAGAAACAAGAGCACGTCCGTATGCCTCTATCTGCAGGGGGGGCAGCAGTTACCATTACATTCAGTCTGCACTGATGAGATAGACTGAAAACACACATGATACATCTGAGGGTTCAGAGACAATCACAGCTTTAATATAAACATAAAGAGGGAAGATAGTGGGTATTGAATGGCATCATTGAGAACCAGAACCAGCCCTGATAATGTAATCTGCTCCCTCTCTCCATTAGATCAAAGATAAAGCTCACGCTGTTGTTGTTGTTGATTTTGGTGGATTGTGCAATACAACAGCTGATGTTTTGGTGACATGTTGTGTTTGTGTTTCAGGTCACTCCGAGGGCAGCCAATAAAATCAGTGTAAGTGTCAACACTCCCACCTGCACACACTGAAGAGAGAGAGGGATTCATGCTCTGATAGAGCAGCAGCACATCCTGAGAAAGGAAGTGCCTTACCTTTATGCAGGGCCTGTGTGTTTGTCTGTACTCAGTACCTGGACAATGGAAAAAAAAAAAAGATTTGTTACCTTGATCCTACTACAACTGGACCGTCATGTAAGCATGTTTCTTGGGCTAAAATCGTACTGAGTCTATTATTATTGAAGTCGGACTGACACCCAGGTAACACAGGTGGAGGACAGATTTTCTCTTCCATGCAAACACTTTGATCTGACCCAACCTGGTCTCAGAGTACTACACATGCTCGAAACTAACCGGTTTTTGAGCAGAGACCCAGTGTTTTCATGGTTTAATGGTAATATCCTGTAGGTTATTTGTTAGCAGATATCGCTAGAGTGCTTCTCTCATGTAACTGGTGCTTTGATCATCTTTTAACTGAACTTGTGATTTCAAAAACAATGCTCAGACTGACTCAGAAATGGTATTTCCATGCTGTTTGTGCAGCAGAGGGTGCTGCAGTTCTTTCATTTATTATCCTTTCAGCACTGCCTGCAGCACATGTAGAAAAGCTTCGCAACAGGGAACGTGATTACTTCAAGCTTTGGCAATTTGTGCCGCTAGGGGCGCTGCTGGTCTGGTGGTCTACTCGCAGAGGTTATGCCTCGAGTGTTACCCTCTTTTTCTACCCTGTCCACTGCCCAGCCCCCTTCAAGTAAAAGCAAAAAGACTCAAAAATAAATCTTGCAAATGAAGTTACTGTGCTGCTTACCATGTTGTGCCCGTTTGTCACAGTATGTAGGCGTCATCTACAGCTGCTCAGATCAACAAGGATTTATTTAACATTTTTCACGTTCAAGATTTTAAAGATTTTTCATTCCTTTCGAAGAGTCCAGAATGTTGAGTATGGAAATAAACTCATGTGTTGCAGACTTAATCAAACCACTTTAATGATGATTTAATATAAGTGGAAATGATTGTGATTTATGCAGTTGTTGAGCGGCCCTACAACTGTGTGATGATGTTTGATTATCCAAAATACTCATAACCACATTAAATTAAACCATTAGTTTGGAGTGCTTTACAGTCATTACAGGCAGTCAGAAATCTAGAATTGAAAATATCAATAAAAATCCAAAAAGAGATATTTAATTTAAAAATTTCGTTTCAAATTTTTTCTGGGAAATAAATATTTGAGGCATACATCTTTCAGCTAAAATTACTCACTCATGCTTGTCCATTCACATTTCTCATGCTCAGTCAAACAAATTTTGTGGCTGACTGTTTTTTTCACTCCTGAAAGTCTTCTGCCTCCTGCTGCTCTGCCGTGTCTTCAGTCATGTTTCATCTCTGAAGTAGCTCTGGAGTGACGCGCAGTAGGTGGTACTTATTAAAGACGTGAGATCTTTGCTGTTTCCTCCTTCAGTTATAATTAAAACTATATGATCTGAAGTGAGGGTCTGCTGAGCAGCTAATTAAAGGTCATGTGACCTACATAGTGCATTCACACCGACTTTGCTGCTTATTTAAAGTGCAATTTGCAGATTGGAGACCTCAGCAAACAGACAACAGACAGATGAGTTGTCCTCCAGGGATTCATGTTGGTTAAGTTAATGTTGAACATAAATAACCATGAATCTAGATGCCAGTCATGTGGATGTAGAGCGAGAAAACGTTCCTTATGTATGAATATGACTGATTGCAGGCTTATAATTACAAGCCTAAATCAAAGAGAGCAGGAGCAGATTGGAAGTGAAGGAGGTGTAAGACCCCTAATGGCTGCATAGCTCAACGATGTTCATGTTGCAGGTTATCAGTTTATAAAAGGAGAAGAGATCAGCAGATATAACATGGATTTGTCTGTGTGACTCTTAGCATCATGATTTGTGTCTTTTTTCAATACCGAGCAATCTGTCCAGTCTGATGTAATGCGTGATCTATGTCTCCACATGCTTTAACTAACACAATCAGGAAGTGGGAGCTGCAGCAGTTTACTGTTTTTCCATTATTGTAGAGAGGATACAGATATGTCATTACATGGACCTGAGGATTTATTGCATGAATTATTGTGTCTGTTTGTGTCACTGTGAGCAAGCACTCCAATCTGAAATTTGTTTTTATGTTTGGCATGCTGAGGTCTTTTAAGTTAGTTAAAGATGGATCAGAACATAATAAATGTTTGGGCTGATTAAAAGGATGCAGACTGTGAAAAAGTGACTGTTGTAGATGCTCATTCATCTGTACCAGTCTGCAGTTATATTTTTTAAAACAGTCAGAAAAAAACCCACATTTGTGTGTCAGATTTTTGCACTGCATGAGGTAATACAGTTATGCTTTATTGTACGTGTGGTGCATTATTAAGTTCGTGATTAGCCTATCTGAGTCATTAGGGATTACATAATGACCTGGCTGTCATTTTTCTTGTCTGATTTGTAAATAGAAGCCAACACAGATGTTACACTTCTCCTAACTCTTAGTATTATTTTTGGCATGAGTAACTGTTCCCTCTCACATACATCGTGACTGTTGTTTACATGCAGCTACACCCGTATGCTGTGTGCACAGTGAATTTAACTTGACATTTAAACTAGCAAAGAAAGACGCTCTAAACATTGAAGTGCAGCTAACTTCTAAGTCTGTTGATGCCAATTATGTTAAGCAGATTAAAAAATGGTCACTGACTGCTTATATTTTTGTGGTTGACTGTTTCACTCTTTGAGGCCAGATGTCATTGCTGATGGGCTCATTAGACAAAACCAGGTTTATGAACAAAGTTTTATTCATATCAGTCCATAATTATCCTCGGCTCTGCAGCTCATGCTCTCTCTCTCTCTCTCTCTCTCTCTCTTTTTCTCTCTAAATACATCTCCAGGATTTTTATTTTTTTGTGGTTTTGTAAGTCTGATGAAAGTGAATTGAGAAAGAGACACATAGAGAGTGATGACATTGTCTTAATACTTTGTTCTGAGGCTGTTTGGGTCAAAAAAGTCATCCAATATTTTCAGCCTCTACAGGATAAACTACTGGCAGAATCAAAATTGATGTATGATGTAGTGTTAAGAAAATAAAAAAAACAATTTTTAAAGCAGCTTAACTGAAAACAGCTATTTTTTTTTCTCCCTATATGTGCCATATAGTGTGCCCGCTCCAACACACCTGATTCAAATGATCAGCTCGTTATCAAGCTCTGTGATGGCTTAATAACGAGCTAATCATTTGAATCAGGTGTTTTGGAGCAGGGAAACATCCAAAACATGCAGGACAGTGGTTTCTCAAGGACTGGACTTGAGAACCACTGCCATAGAAGATAATTACTGACTTTCTCAGCAGCTATTTTTAGAAAAAAAAATGTGTATAATTGTTGAGAGTTTGACCTGGAAGTTGCCCTTTAAGCCATGTTTCTCTTTCTGTGCTATAGACTGTTCGTGTCCAGGGCAACGCCATCTCACATCGTCTCAGCCTGTCCAAGGTAAAGAAGGAGGATGAAGGCATGTATGAGTGCCGCGTGTCCGACCTGTGGGCTGAAGACACTCAGGAATTTACTGTCCACGCCTCACTGCATGTGACGGCAGGGGACGGCATGGTGGCTGAGGAGGCAGTGTCACACATCCAGAACCGCTGGCCTCTGAGGAATACTAACACAGCGCAGGGAGGGGGCGGGGGAGGAGGAAGGGCCACATTGGAGCCGGGGCAGGGGGCGGCAGGGGGCCAGAGGTTTGGGCAGGGGAAACACCGGGTGCAACAGGAGGCTCAGCCTGGACTCCTGCCCTCCATCTCCACCACCACCTCCTCCACGGTGGTCAGGTCTTCAGCCTCAACGCTGTCAGGGAACACAGCCATCCTCTGGCTGCAGTATGGAGCAGGTGAGTCAAGGGGAGAGAGGGGAGGGGAGGGGAGGCGGGGTGAAAAAGAGCTGCAGTGACCCCAAGTGGTAGTGAAGGGAGTAACCCCCCTGATACACACACATAGCGCTGAGCAGAGTGTATGAGGCTGTTTCAGGTTTGTCAGTATGTGTAGCTCCTATCTGCTGTTTCTGTGTGAGCAAGATTCTATGAGTGTGTGTGTGTGTGTGTGTGTGTGTGTGTGTGTGTGTGTGTGTGTGTGTGTGTGTGTGTGTGATACTGTGTGTTGTGCAGACTATGAAGTAGACCCTCTTTTATCAATAGTTTAGATTTTACGTGAGAGCCGTTGTTCCTTCATTCGAAACAAGCGTGTCTCTTAAAGCAGACTGATACGTCCCTCTGGTCTCCATCAGTCTGAACTTTTGTCAGTGCTTTAATCTACAAATCAAACCCTCGCTTGGTCACAAATCATCGGAGACCATCAGTGAGTCAAAGTCTATGACAGATGTGCCTGAAGATAGCACATTGGTTTTACTTCAATTCCCAGCAGGTTTTCTGCTTGACTTTCAACTTTTCTGTCGATCTGGTAATATGTCTTCTTCAGCTGTACCCCTGGCCTCCAAATAGCACCCATGCATCCCTCACTTGTATATTTTCCTTATATCTTAGTCCCTTCCACCAGAGATGTATGAAGAGATGCAAAGAAAAAAAGAGAAAAAAAAGAAGATAAGGAAAAGGGCATCAGACATCCTCTCCTTCTTGGCGTCATGTAGAGCGATGTCTTTTTGTGATGATGGCAAAAGCAGATCACGACTCAAATCACTGCTTTGACAGCTGTTTGTGTCTGCATGCACAGTTTTATTTTCTTTATTCTTTATTATTTATTTATTAGAATAAAAGAAAGAATTTATTCATTGTATAGTCATCATAATGGACATTCATAAACACTTCAATCAATCAATCAATCAAACTATATTTGTAAAGCGCTTTTCCTGCAAGGAATTTAACTCAAAGTGCTTTACAGTTAAAGAACAAAAACAAAAAACTATCCCAGATAAACCCCCCAATCTTTATCATAACTCCTCGCACACCAGCAGTGTTTAAGGTTAAAGCATTTTTCACTGTGAACCTCCTGGCTGAAAGTGTTGCACCCAGCCAAGATGCTCTGCAGCTGTGCACCACATCTCTGTGATGACTCTCGTTTTAGGGGAGCAGTACAGGACAGCTCCCACCACTCATGGTCACAGGACATTAGCTCATCAGTGGACACAAGGCAGACATACAGCATTAGCAAATCAGCAAAGCTTTGCATGCCAGTGTCTCTGCCGGTGATATTGGTGCCCTCTGAATGTGTGTTTCCTGTTTGGCTAATTGGGACTCAGCTGCACCCCTGGCTTACTGTGCTCTTTTTCAACTTGTAAGCGTCCTGATGGAGTGTGGAGTCTGTGCTTTAGACCGGGCCTTAACTCTGTTTCCACAGCTGCTCGAGTTAAACAAGTGTGATGGAGTGTTCACTCTCCTGACGCTCCTCACACACGTCTCCAACCTCGTCTTATCAGGGGAGCATTTTAGTGGACTTGTGCGCGACGTGTATCACCTCTTTACTTTATGACAGCGGCTCTGGCAGCAGCCTAGCAGATGGCAGGGGGGGAGCAGGGCGGTGTAATCCACCACCCCTCAGCTCCTCTACCTGCCCCGCTGCAGCTCTGTGAAGTGTATTGTGAATAATTAAAACTCTGCCAAGTTTGGAGGAGTCTGCTGAGCCCCGAGGAGAGGATGACAGCTGCTGTGTGCAGGACTGACACACACTAACACAGACACACACATGCACGTGTTGATATGCAGTGACTGAGCCCTGTGTGTTGTTGGTAATGACAGAGGTAATCCTGAGTCTCCGCTCTGTGTGTGTGTGTGTGTGGGTGAGCTGCTCTGCTGTCACAGCTCTGATCAGACTCTCACACAGAGGAGGGGATGGGGCAGCTTCCCTTTCAGTCTGTGAATCAAAACATCCAAATATGTGTCTACTCCTGACATATTGCAATTTAGTATTATGAAACAGAGACTCCTTGTAGTGCAGACCTGCTGTGTTGTTAAGTGTTGCTGTATTTACACTGAGTCAGGACATGAATATTATTTACCTTTCTCACTTTCTTCATGTGAATTTTTTATGGGAAGCGTCAAATTCTGTTTTTTTATTTGAGGGTTTCACAAAAAACAATTTTACTGCTTTCCCAGCTCTGTTTGCCATCAACTCTAAGGATGATTAAAATCTTTTCTTGCACATCCGAACTGTGACATTTGGTATCATAGTCATCAAATGAATATCATAATCTTCAAATGTTGAGAAGAGCTTGAACTGAATTTATTTACTCTACAGTCTGTCAGCAGCATTTTGTATTGTACTGTATTTTAGACATTTAGATAGATTTTTCTAATGCTAAATCAGACTTCTGACTTAACTTTCAAATATGTCAGACCTCACAGTGATAACCAGCCAATCATAATTACTGACATGAGGCTGTTGTGAAGAAGAAAGGCTGGATAAGACAACACTCAGGAACTCTACGCTATTTCTCACCAACATTTCTCCTTTTTTTTTTCCCATTGTGGTGCCTCCTCGACGACGCATCACAAAGGCTGTTGTTTCCAGAGCTTGACAAGCATTTTCCTTAAAAGTTCCCTCTTGCAGAAGCACTTTCATAATTCATCTATTGCTTCAGCACTTTGTTTGTTCACATTGCAGAGGACACTGTGCTTTCTTCGGTCAACATCACTGATGTGACGTTGCAGGCAGAGAAAATAGTGAAAGATATTCGATTTGGGTCTTGACCACTAACAGAGGCTCTTTGGATGCCCCAGGCTTAATACATTTTATTTATTTATCTATTTTTTTCTGGGTCTATGTGTTTTTTTTTTTTCATGGGGAGGGGATTGTTGCATTGGTTACAAAAAAAAACAAAAACACCTCGGCAGCTTATTTCCACAAAAACAGAAGCCGCACTATAAATTATTACCAAAATGTAAACAATTCAACTGCATATTTCACGTTAAATTACTTTATCACCTTACATTGATACTAATAAAATAATGTTATTTTGAATTTTACTGTAAAATCAATAGAGGCACAGTAGATTGCTATGAAATATTTAGAGTAATTTACTGGAGAATTACTGTGAAAGTAATGAAACTAGATTGCCAGTAATTTACTGTAAATTTACAGCCAAAAGACAGTGAATAAACATTAAGAAGTATCATTTCTTTGAGATTCTTTGACTCTATCTGATTCAGATCCCTTAAATCTAAAAATCTACGACAATGCAAGTTTTGATAGTTATCCTTCTCTCTTCATTGGCTCTGCTCTGGATCAGTATAAACAGGACTGAACAAACACTGATCTCCCACAGACAGATTATGTCTCCCTGCAGTGACATGTTATAACAATCAACATGATGTAGTTCAGCATGATCATACAATGCGGAGCATGATCTTATGACTTCATCAGCAAATGTACAATATGACATCAGGGTGGACTTACTTTCAAGCTTTCTGCTGCAAAAACTGGAAAACCAACCACAACAGGGGCGGACCAGAAGCCATAATTTAGGCCAGGAGTTTGACTCTATCCAGGCCAATACACATTGACATGGAAATGCTGGCACTGGCGAAAGGTTTTAAACATTTGAAGCCAGATTTAGTGAATATAATGCTAATGTGAAGAATTCAACATTGGCTACATAACTGCACATTTAATATGCAGTAAAAACAAAAATATGCCTCTGTGCAACAGCTTCACAGCAAACTTTATTCAACAAAATAACAAAATTACAATCAGAATGTGACACAACTCTTTGCTTCAACAAAAGTGTAATCTAAAAATGTAAATAATCTCTGATCAAAGACTGGATTTAGTCAGACACATTTTAGTCTTTTAGTTTAGTCTTAGTTAAAATGTAGTCTAAAGGAAGTTTTAGTCTTTATCTCTTTTTTCATATCATGAAGTAATTTGACAGGTGCTTTATAGCCTACTGAACTACATTTTACAGAAGGATATTAGCCATGGTTATAAAAACTACATGTTAGTCATGCCTTAAACGATTTGTTTACTCATTTAAACTAAAAATGTAGCCTACCACATTGCTGTTGTATTATAATAAAATGTTGAAAGCTTGTCAGAAAAAGTCAAAGTTCTCGAGAGGCGTAAAACTTGGATTAGCACGCACCACTAGCATCGTAGCCGTCTCGGTGTCGGTCAGCGACCTTATTAAACTCAAAACAATCACATCTTATAGCGACAGAATGAAAAACACTGGCAGACGTTGCCCAAGTTTGTGTCAAACAATACTTTGAAGCCTGCTGCATTAATATGTTTACAACAAAGAAAAAGTCTTTGACATTATGTGATGACTAAATGAATTGATTGATAAATATAAAACTAGATAACTCAAAGACGTCTTGATTTTCTGTGTGATGAAGAACACAGGTTCTAGCAATCAGGTGATGATTAGTGTCCACCGATGCAACAATACAAAACAATTATTTTTTGGTTTGTTGGACATCATCTGGTCCTGACCATAGATCGTTATACCGGTCTTGAGAAATGAATGCAGATGTGATTCAAACTACAGTTTCCTGAGTGTTCTCTTGATGTGGGCTGCAGAAGCAACCCAAACCACGTGCACACTGAGCCAATAAATCACATTTTTTAGAGCAAAATATCTTTTTAGGCGGGATGCTTGTTTTGTAAGAGTCAGGGTAATGCTCTCATTACATCCACAGTTTTGTTTTCTATTTATAGTTTAACGTTAAAACTTAAGACATTTTTAAAGAGGGACAGGATTTGCCTCTTTTTTATGTGCAGAAACATCCAACATCAAACATGAGGAAGCTGTGTGAGTTTTCAAAGATGTGGACCGTGAATGTCCGGAAATGTTCAGACAAGATATTTTCTATGTACACACTGCTTGGTTTGCTCAGGAGACTAAATTTGTCTTCAGACAGCTGCATGTGCTCTCAAGTGTCCCAGGAATAATGAGGAAACCCTCTGCTGGTCTGTGGAAAGACGTGCCGCTGCAGAGAAATGTAAAAATACGGGGTGTGAACATAGAGACAAGCAGGCTGTTTCAGGTAACGTCCTGCAGAGTGTCCTCATGCACATCCTGCGATAAACAGCTGATTCTTTCATGATGAACAGAGAAGTGATGAAGTGGTGTGCTCACAGTCTGCTTATGTAACTCGCATCTGTTGGTTTTATCCTGGAGGATGAGTGACGCAGCAGATAAAAAGCTCCTGCTTCATCTCTGATCTGATGTTTCAGAACTTTGCCTCATTTTAAAGCAGCAGTAATGAGAGCTACTATCACCATAAATATGCCAAACTGCTACCATAAAAAGGAAACATAAATATCTCACTGTAATGTATGCTACTTTAGGAGCAGAACTGACTCTGAGCTGCTCTGATTGATTAGTTTCATTAGTATTGATTAATTCTTGTTCATTAATTGTTTGCAGAGGAACGCCAGTCCCTCCAGATCACTGATATTGATTAACCAATGTCACATTTTTTTTGTGTAACTATCTATAAATTATTCATATCTTATTTAAAAGACTAATGGGGCCTTAGTCCTACTTAATAAACCAAATGTATTTATCATGTCAAACATTTTTTATCCTCCTCCCTCAGCTGCATATAGCTCAGGTTTGACTCTACATCAGATTAACTCTTCCTCATTAACTGTTGTTACTGAGAAATGACTTTTAAAATTTATTTAGGACTCTGGAGGCCACTGAAATTTTAATTTTGCACACACACACACTGACACATGCACACACACACACACAACATAACAAAACAACAATAACAATAAACAATGCTAAAATACGTGCAGGATCTGTACGAAGGCTAGAGGCCTTGTACGAGGACCTCACCTTTAAAGAGACCAAACCTTTTTTTTTTTAATGAAAAAGTGTTAAATTATCCTTTCAACTAATCCAACAGAATCAAGGACTTCTGCTGCTCTTATCAGCCTCTTGGCCTCTGTAACCCTCCCTTAAAAACATCATATCTGACTATCTGCAGCAATTTTGTGCATCCTAGCATCACAGATTGCATTCTATCACAAGTTGAGTGTATTACTACTTTCTCAACACACACAGTAAGTCAAGACAGCAGTTTTTGACTGCCGGTTTAGGCTGTCTGCAGAGGCACTGAAAAACATGTTCTCACTAAGCCAAAAAAAGCCAGTTTCAGAGTGAAAATAAACATGTCTACAGCCTGGTTTAAGAAACCATTTGGTCTGAGTACCTCAAGTCTCCCACAGCACCCGCTGTACAGGGAGCAAAATATATTTAACCTCTTTCATTTTCAGGTTACAAGATCGACAAATCCGAGGCTGACCTGACTGACAGGCAGGCGCGATGTACCCATTAGCATAGAGGCTAAAGCCCCACCTCTGATATGTTGATAGTGTTGCAGTACGATACAGTACAATATAATTCCATCTAATCCCAGACAATAATAGTAGAGAAACTGGTACACTACAATACAAAACAATGTGATATGATAGGATACAATATGATACTTATGGTAAGATAAAAAGGGATATAATACAAAATGATACAATGATAGCCCTGACAAGTCAATCACCGAGTGCAGTGGAGTTTCACAGCTCAAGGAAGAAAATTTTATGATCACTACTTCATGGAAATGCAATCAGACCAAGACGCCAAGGCAGAAGAACTATACCCGTCTGCAGTGTTTTATATATATATATATATATATATATATATACATATATATACACACACACTACAGGCCAAAAGTTTGGCGCAAGATCAGATTTGTACAAAAAAAGGTCATAGTTTCATATATATAATTTGCAACACAATAAACGTGACTATTGTGTAAAGAGTAACTTATCAGAAGACATTTTGACTATAATTATTAGGTATTGGAGTTATTGTTGCTTAGACTTTGCTTTCTTTAAAGTAACCTCCTCTGGCTTTAACAACAGCTTGGCATATACCAGGCATTCGTTCCACAAGTTTTTCTAAGGTATGTTCCAGGGATTGCATTCCAAGCTTTCTTAAGTTCATTAAAAAGAGACTGCTGATTCGTGGGACGTGTTTTTCTGACCCATTGATCCAATTCATCCCGCACAAGCTCAATTGGAGAAAGGTCTGCTCCTTCTTCATGATACCCTTTACTTCAAATAAATCTCCTACTCCATCACCTGCAAAACATCCCCATACCATGGAACTGCCACCTCCATGCTGAATTGTGGGTGTAACACATGGTGCTTTCAGATGTTCACCAGTTTGTCTGCGGACATAGACTCTGCGTTTTGAACCAAACAGTGCAAACTTGTTTCTAGTCATCCTAAGTCGAATTTTTGTGATCTTTTGCCCACTCATATCTCTTTTTCTTGTTCTGTGGACAGAGTAGTGTTTTTTTGCACATACACAACCCTTCAGACAAGCCTTTCTCAAACGTCATTGAACGGTTGTCAGAGATATGGGTTTCGACCTTGTCATGTTGATTTCCTCCCTTATTTGTGTTTTTTTGCTTTTGAACTGAAGTTGTGACCCTTGCAAATGTTTTTAAGCCCATAATTAAGCCCTTATTATCTTTTGCTGACATATAGTTAGCAATGGTCTGTTAACATCAATGTATATCTAAAGGTAAATAAAGTAAAATGGTGCATTTCTATGAAAGCATCATCTGATCATGGAGTAAATACATTCCAAAATACATACAACTCATGCTGGGTTTAAAAAAAAAAGCATTGTGAACAAAAACTTGAAGTTACTCCCAACTGTTCGGCCTGTAATGGCGTTGCTTCCAAACTTTTGGCCTGTGGTGTATATATATATATATATATATATATATATATATATATATATATATATATATATATATATATATATATATATATGGTGATTATTACCTCAAGGAAATGATCCGCTGCACTCAGTGATCGACTCGTCAGGGCTCCCCCACAAACAAGCGGCTGCTAGAAGAGAGTGGGAGTTGTTTTTGGTCTCTTTGCTAAAGAAACCAGGCAAGGCTAAAAAGATGTTTGGTGGCTAGTACTATGGCAGGGACCCTGTATGTACTGTTGATGAAGTTAGGTGCTGTTCTGAGCATTATGGCTATGGAGTGGCTTTTTGGTTGAGGTTTGTGCGTGGGGCCACAGGCCGGTGTGTATTGCTATCGTGCGGTCGTTACTAAAGCTGGTATAACTAGCTTGTTGCGGTGTGTTTGACCCTAACTTAAATTTACACAGGAATATCCCTTTAAATCTGTTTACTCATCAACATGCCAGACTTCATCATCTACAACTACAGACACTGGTCTCACCATCAGCACTGTTTGAATATTAATGTTAAATTATTAACAGCCTAACTTTAATTGCTGTCAATGATCATTATTTCCCCTATTATCACAAATACTACTATTAGACCAGTGACTAACTGACTTAAACCACTCACATCCTTAATTATTATCATTATTGGGGCTGTAACTATAAGCCTTTCTGACCCCATGTTGTTTTTGGAGTCATTGTCGTCTTTTGCCATCCATCTCTCTGTTTCAACGCCCACTATCTGTCTTTATAACAACCTAGGCAGATGGCTGCTCAACAAGTCTGCTTCTACTCAAAGTTTCTGCCTGTCACGAGGAAGCTTTTTTCACACCACTGTACTGGCTTGTTATTTGCTCTTGGTGGATGAAGATGAGATGAGATTTGACAATAAAATGGGATTGGATCTGATCCTATCATGATGTCTGGTCCTTGTATTATTTATCGGTTAATAACGGAGTAAGGTCTAGACCTGCTCTTAAGCCTCTTGAAAGATCATTTGTTGTGAATTGAGGCTACACAGACTAAGCCTGATTAACTGATTGAGGACAGCTATATTTTTTTCAATGGAAGTATCAGTTTTATACATTCTGCTATTTCAAGCACAGATGAAAAAGAATCAGTAAAAGTGAATATAGCTGATGAGTTCTGGACCTCAGAGACACTAAAGGTAGTTACGTGATTGGTTGTAATGAAGATACGCAGAAAATCAGAACTGGATTTTATTAGCCTAAAGCCGTGAGCCCACAGGTGACCAACCTTTTTTTCTGCAAAATATGTTCATTCAAAATATGTTGTTATATTTGACCCAAGGTTCACTTATTTGGGTAAAAAAAAGTCTAGATTGTGTATCCAGAAGACTCCCATTCGTGCTCCCTAACTCATTTTCGGCAGGAAGCAGTCTAACATGAGTCTGGTCCTGCTCAAGGTTTCTGCCTGTTAAAGGGAAGTTTTTTCTCACCACTGTAGTTTGCTAAATGCTGCCAAGTGTTTCACTCATGTTGGATGGGATGGGTCAAATCTTTCCCATCACAAGGTTTGGTCTTCAACATCAAACAATTGGTGGGGTTTAGACCTGCTCTTTCAGAAAGTGTCTTGGGTTACCAACAGTTACAGCAGTTATCGTGTAGATCTGTAGCTACATTTTTTTCACTTGAAAAGGGAAAAGGGTTCATTCGTAGTTCACAGAGTTTTCACATCTGAGGAAATTTGAGTCACAGGTGGAAACAGCCTGGGTTACAGACTGAAGACACGTGTGACTCAGGCTCTGTGTTTTTTATTTTACTCCTTAGAGCTTCTGGAGGACCTTTGTCTCTGACAAATACTCAGGACTAACACCAAACACACAGGGAATGTTTGACTGCAGAGTTAAAGTCCGATATGACACATTTACCCACTGCTGATTGAATGATTTGTATAAGGATATTTTAGTGGCTTTGAAGCTTCATGTTGTCATAAAATTTTGAGCTTACTCAGCAAATGAACAGAAGCTGAATACAGTATGTCGTGATGCTAATTCACTTTAATCCTTTTCATGAAGCAGTTAACGAAGGATCATCCAGATTCACATCAGCATGTCAGCTGGATTAAAAAGCTTCTGTATGATCAGGGAACATTTTACTGGTTTTTTATCCAGATATGTCAGCTGCCCAGAGAGCTGGTGTCCTAAATTTAACAGTAAAGATCTGGAGTGAATCTCATCTCTGCTTCAAAACAGAATTTAGAAAATAAATAAATAAGCAGAGCAGGTTCATGTGGAGGTCTGAGTGAAGACTGCAATGTCAAACTGAGATTAAGAACAGAATAAAGCATGAAGTTAACATAGTAAAAGGCTGAGGTTAAATCATTGCGGATGCTGTAATTCTTTTTGTAACATCTGTAATCTGACTGACTGGATTATCTCTTACTGTACATGTGACTCTGTAGTCTTTAAACACATCCAGCTTTACAGTAAATGATGCAAATACTCAGACATTTAATGCCGTGCAGCGTGAGTGTGCGTGTGTGTTGGTGACATCATGGTGTTGCTACTTTCTGCTGCAGCTCAAAACAATCATTTCCTGCAGTCCTAATCCAGATCATCCTGTGTTGTCCTCTTTGCTAAAATGTATTTTTCTCCAGTCCATAAATCTGATTTTTTTTTTTTTTTTTTTTTGTCCTGCTGGACTGCAGCAGGAATCAAACCATCCTTTTGAGTCTTGCTAAAAGAAACACATCCAGCCTGCTATCTAACTCTGTGTCTATTTTTAGATATACTGTCTGCTCCTGTAGTTGTTTATGTCCCTCACATTGGCCTGTCTGAAATTTTTAACTGTTTAAAAACTCAGTCTGTCAGAGCTTTTTTGAAACAGAAAGTGAAAATCAAAAAGTCATGTGTGCACAGATCTCTGCATATTGAAGTGGTTTTGTGCTATGATTTATCAAACTTCATTTATTTGTAAAGCACTTTTCATACATGGAATGTAGAACAAAGTGCTGTCCATTTGTGCAGGATATTAAAAAAACAATGAAAAAAAAATATATATACAAATACAAATACCACCCACCCTCCCAACCCCCATTCAACACATGCAACACTCACACACACAGATGCATACACAAAAGACCAGGACTCTTCAACTTGCCACAGATGTTTGAGGAAACGCTATCTTAAGTTAAAAAAGATGAGGAAACACTGGATCTAGGACTAAAACGTTAAAACCATGATAAAATATAATAAAGGTGATAAAACGTTAAAGGTTAATTAATTGGAAGTCTTAAACTCGAACAATAAAAGAAAGTAAATGAAAAAGAGGTAATAAAACACAAAATAATTACTCTAGGACTAAAATCACATAATGCAGATTAAAGGATTAAAAGAAAATTAAACTAAAAGCCGGACTGAAAAGGTGAGTCTTTAGTTTGATTTAAAAAATATGTACGTTAGGTTATTATGCCTAATGACTTCTTATTCCGACAGATATTTTTATGTTATACGTTCCTCAGACAGATTTATGACTAAAAAGAAAGTCTCGTCCTCTTCTTCCCCGAAAGAAGAGGGTAAAGGTGAGATTATGCTAAATAATTAACTCTCTCAAATTAACGTTTCATTTGATCAGTAAACCTCTGTACCTCGATGGGTCATAAGCATAGACTATATATAAGATGGACAACCTGGTTCCGCCTTCCGCCTGTATACGGATTTGAAGCCAAAAAGCTCTCGGTAATTCTGGGTTTTTCTCCACTTCCTTGAAACCAGAGCTGAGCAGTAGCGTTGTGCGCATTCGGCCGCGCAGTCGCCGAGAGTCCCTGTGATGACGCTCGGCTCAAACAGCGTATCCCCCCGGGAGAGCTACTCAATCCCTGAACGCCCATAGGCTGTACCAGGTGTCAATCATAGAAAACATGAACTGCAGTCCACCATCAGAGAGTGCTGTTCTCGGAGTGGCTTCACCCAGCGAGGAGGCAGACTCTGTCCATCTTATATACAGTCTATGGTCATGAGTGTTTTTTGCCAGGGGAAAGGGGAAAGCTGAGCAACCCTGTTTTTAAGTATTTGTAGACAAAGTCGGTCATGTGATCACACATATTTGTAGTTATCCACTTGACTCACCAGATCTTTCACTGTTTGAAGTGAGTTTTTCTAGTGCAAGAGGTCATGGTTCTCATGTTGGTACTTTAGTAAGTGTCAGTATAAGATTATAATAGTACCGTAATGTGAGCTCTAAACCACAAGTATGAGGCTGTTGCAGTGATGAAATTTCCCTTGCAGGGATTTAGGTTGGCTCAATACTGTGTTAATATTGCACAGGTCTGTTTCTCTTCTAAATAGTTAATTATTGACATACATTTATGTTAACATTGAATGTGGATGTTTGTTTCTTTCTTTGTTCCTTTCTTCCGTTTCAGTTTTGTTCCGTGATATCATTTCCATGTCTGCCCTCTTGACTTCACAGCAGGAGTGCCGTGCTGTGATTGCAGACTGTATCTACACTGAGGTAGGGGGTCACAAAGGACTCTGCTCTAAATGTGGCCCAAGGAGCTGTTTGGGAGCTGAAAGAGTCTGTTGTTACAGAGCTGAATCATTAAAAAGAGACTGAATTCCCATCACTATCAGCATTTACGATGAGGTTGTTAACCTGCCCTCATGGATGGCAGACAATTTCAGTCAGGTCAAACAACCTTGTAGACTTAAGGTCCTTTCACACCGGGAACGTTTTTTACATGCAATTATTTTGGACGTCAATATTTTTTTCCGTTTTTTGATCATAGTCGATTTTTCTAAAGTTTCACATACTGTGTGTCCACTTCTGATCAGATTTTGTGTTGTTGCGACGTCTGATTCACCGGTATATCCAACATGGCCGACCGGCTAACTGTTTACGTGTCGGAGAACAGAGTGCTTTTTGATAAAAGACACAAATATTACAAAGATAACTACCTGTATGACAACTTGTGGAGAGTCATAGCGTCGGATCTCTCATATGACGATAGTTTGTGTGCTTTAACAGTTTGTTAAACGTCTTTGTTTTAACTTTCATCTGTGCTAAGTAACTTTAGCTCGTAAGCTAACCTGTTCAAATACAACATAACAGGTATTTTCACTGTCTCAAACTCAATCGTGTTGCTGTCACAGCACCATTAGGTCTCGGTTGTTTCTTTACGTTTATGGATTATAGTTTAATGTGCTTATCTGGTACTGGCCCAGACTCAGTACATGCTATCTATAGTCCATTAGAATAGTATGCTACATGCTACAGACAGCCATCTCAACACTAGTGTCTAATCAGAACTGAAAAACAGTCAGTTTGGTGTTGTGTCAGTCTTATTGCTTCCACCCGGGACGCGTCTTTTCCCCCCCAGAAAGTCGCAAAATCGCATCGGGCTTGATGTGTATAGTCAGGCACGTCAAAATTCTCCTCCGAATATTTTGTAGTTTCGTGTTCTATATTCGTGTCAGCCCCGGTGTGTAAGGACCTTAAATCTTGTATCTTTACAGACTTACTACCCTGTCTGAAGGTTGGTTTCTCCACTGTGGAAAATATCATCATCTCCACCTCTAGATACTGCGTCACAACATCTGCAAGGAGTCTCTTTCAGAAGTGTATTTGGTAACTGGAATAAAGGCACCGTAGACTCTGGCATGAGCTGCTCTTCTCTTTGCTGGAGGAAGCTACAGCTTATATTCGACAGCCTTTGGTAACTTTCCCTTGAATTCAGTGAGTTTCCTTGTTAATATAGATCGTATTAATGCTTGATTTGCATACTGACTTTGTATCGTGCACAAAGATTTTGCAGTACCTGGATTCAAAAGCTTGGTCCCACTTTAGAGGTAACATCCTGCATGAAGGACCCATCCTACACAAAGGACAAAGGACCCGTTCTAGCAACCTGAACTAGTTTACATAACTAACCTGCTGATGTCATAAATTTGATGTTTTAAGGCCCCTTTGATTTCTGATTGAGTTAGAGGCAAAGCCTGACATTTAAAGGCATACAGTATGACTCAGACACTTCAGGATTTGTCTCGTTTGAATCATTCTGCAATGAATCATGGGATACATTGGGGTTGTGAAGGTTAGGGTTGGATATGTGTTAATCAAAGGAGCCTCAGAGTGGGAAAGTCTTCGGCTACCATGATGAGGTTTCTCAGCAGGATGTTCTGTTAGACCATCTTTGTTTGACTGATGTCCGTCTACAAACTCCTGCAGAGTTGAAACTCTTGGAGGAAATCTGTTTGAAGCTCAATGTGTGGAGTTTTCAGCTGGTTCACACTCCTCAGTGAGAACAGTCATTCATCACACAGAGATAACACAGTGATTATTCGGGGACATTTAGATAGGGCTGAGAAAATATTACCAGCTCACATTTACCATCTGAAATCATAACTCATCCCCCGCTGACTGTGTTTCCCTGAGTGTAAATTCATTTAAATAACCTGATAAAAGGCTCTAATCTGTGACATTGTGCTGCGTTGTAAATAAGGAATCAAGAACTGGCATATGAGAATAATGTGAGCATTAACCTGTGATTGAATTAGAGAGATAAAGCAGCACACATTTATTAAAGGAGGTTCAGATTTGCATCACATTTGAATAGGAACAAAAAGTGTTTTGGTAAACTCTGGGAGCTCAGAAAAAAACTTTAACAAACTTAACTTTTCAGCGCTGATCATGATATCAGTCAAGAACATCCAGGCCCAACATCCACCCGGATCAGATTTGATCACAACTTATCCTGTATCTCAGATGACAGATGGCCCTGATGTGTTTTGTTTTAAAGTCCTACTCTGATCGTAGGTCATCAGCAATTTGCCTCTGAGTCGTGGGTGGAGACAGCACTGCTCTGCACACTCCTCTTTACGTTAGCTTGCAGCCTAATATTGCTGGTGTAGGAGAAGTGGCAGGTAACATAGGAGCTATTTAGCTCTCCGACACTAATGTCGTTTAGGGGCATGATGAAAGTTGATATCATAATTAGCTTTCTTACGAGCATTGCAATCTGCTAACACACACACTTGTTCCGCGATTGTCCTATTTCTCAGAGTCTGGCCTGCATAGCGAGGCTCAGGGGGGCGGAGCTTGGAATTGTGATGTAGGAAATCCCACTGTGTCCGAAACCTGCCGTTTGGGTCTGCCAGAGATTCACAGTGATTTGAATGTAGAAATACTCAGAAATGCAATTTTGCCTTTAGTTTTCTTATAAGTCCTGTAGCATAAGAAAAATGCCATACGAACATGTAAAAAACAAGAAAAACATGATTTGGGTCTTTAAAGCTACAGTGCCTTGAAAAAGTTTTCAAATCCCTAAAACTTTTTCACATTTTGTCACTCTACAACCACAAACTTAGAAGTATTTTATTGAGATTTTTTGTCATAGACCAACACAAAGTAGCACATAATTGTGAAGTGGAACGAAAATGATGAAAAGTAAAAATGAAAAGTGTGGTGTGCATTTGTATTCACCCCCCCCCCCCCCCCCCCCCGTGTCGATACTCTGTAGAGCCACCTTTTGTTGCAATTACAGCTGCAAGTCTTTTGGGGTACATCTCTACAAGCTTTGCACTTGAGACTGAAATTTTTGCCCATTCTTCTTTGCAAAATACCTCAAGCTCAGCCAGATTGGATGGAGAGCGTCTGTGAAAAGCAATTTTCAAGTCTTGCCACAGATGCTCAATGGGATTTAGGTCTGGACTTTGACTTGGCCGTTCTAACACATGAATATTCTTTGATCTAAACCATTTCATTGTAGCTCTGGCTGTATGTTTAGGGTCATTGTCTTGCTGGAGGGTGGATATCTTTTTCAGTCTCAAGTCTTTTGCAGCCTCCAACATGTTTTCTTCCAGGATTGCCCTGTATTTAGCTCCATCCATCCTCCCATCAACTCTGACCAACTTCTCTGTCCCTGCTGAAGAAAAGCATTCCCACAGCATGAGGCTGCCACCACCATGTTTCACAGTGGGGATGGTGTGTTCAGGGTGATGAGCAGTGTTACTTTTCCGCCACACATAGCGCTTTGCATTCAGTTCAACTCAAAGTTCAACTTTGGTCTCATCTGACCTGAGCACCTTCTTCCACATGTTCGCTGTGTCCCCTACATGGCTTGTGCCAAACTGCAAAAAGGACTTTTTATGTCTTTCTGTCAACAATGGCTTTCTTCTTGCCACTCTTCCATAGAGACCAGATTTGTGGAGTACATGACTTCTAGTTGTCCTGTGGACAGATTCTCCCACCTGAGCTGTGGATTTCTGCAGCTCCTCCAGAGTGACCATGGGCCTCTTGGCTGCTTCTCTCACCAGTGCTCTCCTTGCTCGGTCTGTCAGTTTAGGTGGACAGCCATGTCTTGGTAGGTTAGCAGTTGTGGCATACTTCTTCCTTCCATTTTTGGATGATGGATTGAACAGTCTGCTGAGTTCCTTGGTCTTCATGATGCTCTTTGTTGACTAGTTTTCTCTAACAAAGCACTGAGGCCTTCACACAACAGTTGTATTTATACTGATACTAAATCACAGGGAGGTGGACAGGTGGTTGTAGAGTGACAAAATGTGAAAAAGTTCAAGGGATATGAATATTTTTCCAGGGCACTTTATATTGTGAAAAATGACACTGTGACCTCTTGTTCCATAAAACAAATCAATTGAATTTCATGATTAAAGTTACTACACTAATATATATATATATATATATATATATATATATATGTTGTTTTTGTTGTGTTTTCTGCTATGTGAAGTTCTCTTTACCTGCTCCGATGAAGAGAATAGTGGTTGTCATTTTCTCCACACTTAGAGTTGAAATCATCTTCCTGTAGTCTAGTTTCTGATTCTTTGTGCTTCTCAGACTGCTCTCATTCATTCAGACAGCAGTGTTTGCTTTCCTTTAGTAATGCTTTAAAAATACCAGGGTCTGTCACTGATGTATTCAGTCCTGATCAAACACCGACAGCACTCAGCTGTAATAACACAAGTCAGTCCTTGTAGAACAAAAACCGAGTTCATCTCAAAGGTAACGTGTCTGTCTTATGCAGCAAAGAGACGTCAATTATTCAAACTAATTTAAAATCAGCAGAAATATTTTCACAGTTAATCTGCCTTCATCAAAGCTCATGAGACACAGAGATAAGAGAGGGCTGCAACAGTGAGAGCTGCTCTTCAGAGATATCAAAGATTCATGATGGATTTATTCTGAAAATATTAACTCACCACTGTAACTCTGATCCGAGCGAGTGTGGGCATGAAGAGAAACCAAGCAGAAACCTCTCAGTGTAGAGAAAAATGCCTGAGTGTCCACATTAATCTTTTCATGACAACTGCACAGGCTGAATTTCTGTGTAACTCACCTGTTTAAATTGTGCTAAGGCTTAATAATACGCAAAATGTGACAAAATAGTTGTTACGCTGTGTAAAATATTAATAAAACCCCAATTTAGAGCTCTGCGAACCTTTAAACCTCATATTTGATAGGAATAAGTACTAAGAAAACATATTCGATGTAAAAACAGAAATATTTTGTTTCATGAAAAACTATATGTTGGCTGTAATTTTGTTTGCAGTTACAGGCTTCTAGGGACCAGGGATGTTAACTGTTGTGTTGCGTCACCTCTTCTCTCAAAGGGAAATTCCGTCATAAATTGAAGTCATGGTCAAACACACCGTTACACCGAGTTAGACACCCACTCAAGAGATGAACGTTGCCGACTGCTTGCTTCTCTAGTTATACCAGCTTCAGCAAGAACCGCAGGATAGCAATACACAGCAGTCTACATCTCCACGTGCAAATCTCAACCAAAAAGCCACTCTATAGCCACAAATAATGCTCAGAACAGCACCTAACTTCATCAACAGTACATATAGGGTCCCAGCCATTGTACTAGCCATCAAACATCTTTTTAGCTTTGCCTGATTTCTTTAGCGAAGAGACTAACCAAACTCACCCACTCTCCTCCCGCAGCAACTTGTTTGTGGGAGAGCCCTGACGAGTCAATCACTGAGTGCAGCGGAGTTTCGCAGCTCAAGGAAGAACATTTATGATTATTACCTCATGGAAATGCAATCAGAGATCTTGTGTATCTCGTATGTGCACTGCAGATACGTTAGTTCTTCTGTGTTTGCGTCTCACTTTGATTGAACTTAAAATTACGCCAGAATCTCCCTTTAACACTTTGTAGGAGAGCAGTTGCTGCAGTTTTAAAGTTAAATGTCTCTTCATTGACATTGTGTTTCAGTAACCATTCAGGGTCTCCATTGTTGCTTTTTGTGGCATAATGCTAAAAAAATTCAACAGGTGACACATTCAGACTTAAGTCAGGCCAGTTAAATGTTTGAGATATGTGCAAAGTGTGGTTTGACATTGTCCTACTGAAATGTTCAAAGTCCTCCATGAAAAAGACATGCTGGATGGCAGCAAAACCAGCATCAAAGGTGCCTCTCCGGATGTGAAAACTTCTCCATAACATCAGGGATGCTGGTTTTTGAACTTTACAGGTGGTACCTGTTCACTGTAGAGCAAAGAACATGGTGTCTATGGTTTCCAAAACGAATGCCAAATTACCAAAGCAACTTGTATCTGTTAGACCACAAGGCAGTCGTCCACTTTGTCTCAGAGAAGTTATCTGTGTCTTTGGATCATATTTATGTATGGTCTCATTTTTCAGTTTTAACTTTGCATTGTGGTGTGCAGAGACAGGCTGTGTTCACAGACAGTGGTTTGTGAAAGTGATTCAGAGCCCATGCAGTGATTTCCACTACAGAGTCATGCTTCTTTACTGCAGTGTCATCAAGTGTCAGTTTTAAGCTTTGTTGCCTGTTCAGAGATTCATCCAGATTCTCAGAATCATATAGTAATATGATTTAGTGTAGATGCCCAGATTTCCACTCAGCTTTTTAAAATTCTCATATATCCATTTTGTGGATTCGGGCTGCTGCTGCTGCTGAGGATCGGGAATCAATAACTGTCCATGTGTTTTTTACAGTACTTGCTTTTGTCGTCTTTAAAATTTACATGACGGAGGAACAGACAGAGGACGTCCCACCAGGATTGATCTCCTGACCTACATTCTGTTAAGATTTTAACCTTATATCTAGATATTCATCATCCTTGAAAAGAGATCAATCCCTTCCAATGATTTTTTGCCCCTTCCGTTTCTGTTTCTCATTTCTCACTTACATCTTAACTGCAGACCAACCAAATCTGTTTTCCTCAACATTTCATAGAGCTCTCAAAATCTTTGGAGCTCGGGTTACAAATGTCATGAGGATTTGATGTAGTCTGTTCAAACTATCAAGCTCTTTTTGTGTGCAGAAATAGAGATAGAGCACATTGTTCTTTCCAGTGATGCAGCCTGAGGTTTCAGTCATGCAAACTGAGCGGTGCTGACAGAGTGGATGATGTCTCAGCAGTAGCAGCAGTGACAGTGAGGGGCAGAGTGCTGTTGGAGCAGTAATAACTGTGCCAGTCAGTGTGAGACACACTAACACTTAAGATCATTTTTATCTTGAGTCAGAGTCCAGAGTCCAGACCTCGGCTGGAATGATGTGATCCTTTCAGATAAATGACTGTGTCATGTAGATGTTATGTTGGTGTCCCTGAGCATCTGTTAGACAGACACAATGACTTACTGCAGAGGAACTGGTGGAAGTGCTGAAGCCTCCTGAACTGCCTCACTGCTGCTGGCTCAGCTCATTTTGTAGGATGTTGGTGGTTGGAGAAAATATATACTTTTTTTATTAGGTACATCATCACTAGAGAGGAAAATTAGCATAATTGAAAAGTGGGAGTTAAAAACATAAACATTAACATTTGGATACTGTGTTAGTCTGTGTTTTTTCTTGAGGCAGTAAGAATGTGGGCTGAAGCGAGGTAAAGAGAATCAACAAGGATACCATGATTTTGTTTTTGTACCTGGTTCAAACTGCGACAACTATTAGCTTTTTCTTAATAAATTTTGTTTTCATAACTGCAATTGAAGGCTGCAGTAATAATGATGACTGATGTTTGAGTCTAAAGGAAGATGCCTGACGTGCCTGCACGGACTCACAATCACTTTCAAAAAGTATTTTCTGAGAACACAGTTTGTCTCTGCACCCACAAACGCAAGTTAAAAATGTAGCATGCAAAGAAAAAAACGCAAGAGGCATGACTCAGAAATGTCAGTGTCTTGTTTGAGATGGAATTAAATGAAGTGGACACTGACTCCTGCACTCTAACGGGGTGAGGGACCACCCGGCTGTAATCAGCATACACTCTAACAGCCTGTATGATATAAGGATGTGTAAGTGCCCATTGGATGGACAACTTACATATCTGAGAAGACACCGTCACAGCTGCAGTCCGCAGTATGCAGCATGCAGCATGCAGCATGCAATTTGCTTACTAAGCTCCTTACAGTATCACCGGACAATACTCTGTGCAATAACCCACTTAACTGTGCAATATCATCTGTGATGTGCAATACCACGTGCAATACAGCATTCGTACACCTTTGTAAATCAATTTGCATACCTCATTTATCCCACCAACTTATCCTCCATCTCATACATCAACACTCAGCACCTACTGCATCGCTTGTTCACTTTGTAAATATCTCCTTTTTCACTTGTAAATATTTCTCGCATTATTTTTTTTTTGTATCCTCATTTTATTGTATTCCTTCAGTACTATTTTGTGTTTATCTGTACCCCTTTGAGTCGAGCGGTCCTCTCATCCAGGGCATTTCATTGCACTGTTGACCTTGTCTAACATGCACATGACAAATAAACAAATCTTGAATCTTGAATCTTGAATGTGAACAATCCAGGTTTTTAATGCTTTCCCCAGAGGAAACCTGATATACCTCAGGAAGGCAATGGGAAATGCAGTTTGCTACTATTACATCGGTATGGCTCTGTGATAGATGCGTTCAGATGCAAAGCTGGCCTATCTAAATCTGTCTACATATCTGTATCTATATGTTCCTAGTGTATACATTAAACACATCAAAGTAGCAAATCGAAATTAGTTTGTTACAAACCTGAAATCCATCTGCTTTTTGCGGGTTTTGATGTCAAGTCCTGGTCCTAAATAAATTTTTATTAAATTATTATTTTTGATTAAAGAACATTGGTGCTGCAATTACACTCAATTTTACAATTTAACATCCTGCAAACACTCAGGATCAAGCATTTACCCAGACTATGGTATGAAATGTGTGATTTGTAGTATACTGTTGGGATTACCTCTTCATACCTTCCTACTCTGTCTCTCCCCAGGCTGTTGGTTGATGAGCTCAATGGACCCCCTCTTCTTCATCGCTGTCCTGCTGCTGCATGAGCTTGTGCCCCTCCTGTTGGCCCACTGAAAGACTTCAACCAAACGTGTGTTGACCTTCAACCCTCTCACATTTTATACCAAAAAACAAAACAGCAGCAGCAGCAGCAGTCAGAGGCTCACGGTAAACCACATCACTGCAGGGAGTTACAGAGAGAGATGGTGGACTCCTCAGACTGCAAACAGAGAGCTGGAAGCTACAGGACAGTCTGCAGAGCGGAGCGTGCAGAGGAGACAGGATGGAGCGTCAGTCCTGACACACACACACAGACAAACAGCTGATCTAGCACTGTCTACTCTGCACCTGCTTCATGCACGGCCTCCTCAGACACCACAAACTCACTTTCTTCTGCAGCATTTCACTGTGAATTCTTTACAGATCACCTCAGTGTGAGTCCTGCTGCTCATACAAACACTCTCAGCCGTTCAGTCATGTGACCTCCATGTTGTTCTTTTATTTGGAGGGAAGTGATTCAAACTGTCAGTTCTTTTCTGTAGACATCTCCTCCACACAGAGCTACCATCCATCCACTGTGTTAGTCTAATGTAGATCATGCCCTCATCCTCCTACACACACACAGACACACACACATCTGTGTTCTCATAGCTGTGTTTCATGTAAATGAGGAATAATAAGCTGATATATTTTATGGAGATAAGGCACACCTGCTCATTGTTGTTGTTCTTCACCTCCAATAATGTTTATTTTTATTAAATCTGTGGTGACTTTTATTTCTATGAGACAGAACTTTCCCACAGCAGCTCAGATGAACTTTACTGTTTTTCTAATAAAAGCTAGATTTCAAACATGTCATATGATCATGGTTTTTCTTACAAACACCAAATACCTGACAGACACTACTTATTTTTCAACTCTTAGCGATATTTCAGATGAAAAAAAAAAAAGAAATCTTTATCACCACTGACTGGGTGAGGACTTCTAAGTGTAATGAAAAAATCATGCAGTTCCTGTAGTGTCCACTTGAGGCTCTCTCCTAAAGTGAGTAAATCCCCATGGAGCCTTATATTAAAATCCTCAACAGAAATTAAGAGGAGTACTAGTGCAGACAGTGTATGGAGTCAAGCTCAGCTCACAGTATGTCGGCTGATCCTAACACCAGCTCATATCAGCTGGCATCCCAGCTGTTTACCTTCGCAACATTTAATTTGCAAATATTGAAAATTAGTGTTTAGCCTTCCTGTTGCAACCTGCCTCCACTCAGCTTCTACAATCTTTCTACAAAAAAAAAAAAAAGACAATCCATGAAGCATTACCACTGTTGCATACCTGCACAAGATGAACATACAGTTGGTGCATGCTTAGAGAAAGCTAATTCAATAGTACTAAGCTGACTTGACAGCGTGTACTTCACGACCATGTTCTCGTTAGTTTGAATTTTTAAATAAAATAGTAGAAAACATTGTCACAAAGGGATCTAAGGTGGAAGTGGAGGATAAAAGCTTGTTAGCGGCCAAGAACTCTTGCTAAAATTTTAAGCATCTGAGCTAAACATTGTGGTGGGGTCCACTGAGGAGAAGAAACAGAAGGACTATTAGCTCAGCTTAGGGAAGAGAGGTAAAAAGGACCAAAGGAGACTGTGAATGACTTTGTTGTATTGAAGGGTTCAAAGTGGAAGAATTAATTAAATAAAAAAATATATAAAACATTATATAACATTTGTAACTTAAAATCTACAATAAGAAATATATTTCTAAATAAAATCATAGTTTTACAGTGCAGAAAGTAAAGCAACCTATGCAAGACAGAAATAAAATGAAATGCAAATAAATAATGAATTAAAATTAAAGCATGACATGCTGATGTGTTATGCATTCAAGACAAGTAAAGTCTTTATTTGAGAGCATGCACCCTTAAACTCCAGCAACCGCACGATAGCAACACACAGTGGTCTACATCTCCACGCAAAAGTTCTTCTTCTTCTTCTTCTTCTTCTTCTTCTTCTTCTTCTTCTTCTTCTTCTTCTTTTACTTTATCAACAGTACATATAGGGTCCCAGCTATAGTACTAGCCTTCAAACATCTTTTTAGCTTTGCCTGTTTTCTTTGGCAAAGAGACACAAACACAACTCACCCACTCTCCTGCATCAGCTGCTGGTGGGGGAGCCCTGACGAGACAATCACTGAGTGCAGTGGATCATTTCCTTGAAGTAAATATCACCATATTAATCATTTTGCACTACAGACACGTTAGTTCTTCTGCCTGTGGGTCTCGGTCTGATTGCATTTCCATGAAGAAATAATCATAAATGTTCTTCCTTGAGCTGTGAAACTCTGCTGCACTCCGTGATTGACTTTTCACTGTTCCCCTACAAACAAGTGGCTGCTAGAAGAGAGTGGGTGAGTTGTGTTTAGTTTCTTTGCTAAAGTCACAAAAAGATGTTTGGTGGCTAGTACTTTGGCTGGGACCCTATATGTACTGTTGATGAAGTTAGGTGCTGTTCTGAGCATTATTTGTGGCTATAGAGTGGCTTTTTGGTTGAGGTTTGCACGTAGAATGGTAGACTGCTGTGTATTGCTATCGTACGGTCGTTACTAAAGTTGGTATTACTAGAGAAGCAAGCAGTCAGCAACATTCATCTCTCAAGGGGTTGTCTAACTCTGTGTTGTGGTGTGTTTGACCCTGACTTAAACTTACGCCGGGATTACCCTTTAAGGAATAGATGAGTCGGGAGTGATGGTCTGCTGTATTCAGAGTGTGATCAAACTGAGTGTGTGACTGAGTGTGTTTTTTGTGGAAGTGGATAAAAAAGCTGCTCTGAATGGTGCTCAGCTAAAACAACAAACATGTTTTCACTAAGGACTGAGTCTGGCCTGACTGCATGTGGACATCCCTCAGAGACACCTCCTCAGACCCTGATACAGACTGAATGCTCACTGTGGTCTGAATTAAACTGAGATCTCAGCACAAACACAACATGAGGGGAATGTGCAGACGCTGTGATATTGTGCATAATCGGCCTGTCTGTGCGGTGCATATCTCTGAATACAGATAAAAAGGCAGAGACTGAAAGTCATTCATGATCCTGGCGGTGAGATCTGGAGCTGTAAAGAAATTTTGACAAATCATAGAAACATGAATTAATAAGATAGATAGAGATCTCAGCAGGCAGCTGCCTGCAGCATGACACCAAAACTCCATTTCCACCCTCCCTGATGGAGCTCTCAGATTATTCTGCATCCAGAGAACAAACATGATGTCAGAGCAAGCTGAGATGCTGCCGAGTTAATCTCATCTCATGGACACCAAACGAGGACCAGGGGGTGTGACTAACCTGGAGCTTACGTAAACCTCAGTGTGTCCTGCTAAATACCATCCAACACCCACCACCTGAGAGCACTTTCACCTCGTCTCACCTGAGTGCTGCTTAAAATAGCACCCAAACCACCCAGAGAGGCCTCAGGAGAGACAGACAGACACGCTGAAGTACTCTAGCAATTAACAACACATTATTTCCTTTGATTCACTCTGTCAATCACACAGCGTCAGCTCCACAAGCTCCACATACAGGACATCTGTGTGATTTAAGGTAGGAAGAACCAAATATAAATAAACAATCAATCAGAATATAGATGAAGATAAATTACACAATGTCATAGGACTTGAGCATAAGCAGAGTATTATGTTGAGCAGATTAAAGATCTGATTATGATGTCCCTTTGCAAATTTCAACAATGGCCAGGCTCCATCACTGCTGCTGGGCTGTGTGCGTGTGCACGCGCACGCACGTGTGTGTCTGCACACCGTCAGAGATTATGTCCTTTATGCAACAAAATAATCTCAGCTGCAGAGTCCACTCCAGAGGTCTTCGTGGATCCAAAATGACAGACCTGAGCGTTTGCTGCATTCTCTGTCTTTTAAATTCAGAGTGAGCTCTGATAAACAAAGTCTGGACTCAGAGGTAATCCCTGTTCATCTCTTAACCTGCATACCAACTTAATCCTGACCTTGATCAGTTCCTATGTAATGTTATTTTCAGCTAACTCTATGTAAGGTTTTGAATTCATTTGCAAAAACACATCTCAAACTCAGTGTGTGTGTGGAGGATCTACAGCCTCTCAGTTTCCAACCTCATTACCCATGCAGTGATCTGAGTGGGAGGGGATGCCATGAGCAGTGCAGAGAGTTTGGAGATCACACTGCCTACCAACAACACAGTGTGCTTGATGGTGAACCCCATGTGAGCTGACTCATGAGGCGAGGAAGAAGACAAAGTCCTTGTTTATTGCAATTTGATCAATATTTGACACCATAGCCTCTCAGACAATCGGCAAACATCAGAACCCTCAAGTTATTGCACCCTCTGGATAAAAGAGCTGACTTGTGCTTATTATTTCAAATCCTTCATTCATATATCGCCCTGTTGGACACAGCACAATAAATGATTAGCCTAAAACTTAAAGGTGGGGTTGGCAGGAATCCGTTAAAGAAGTATATTTTTTGTGGTGTATATACAAAAAAGCTTTTAATATCAATCAATAGTTATTAGTTATTGATGACATTTGGTAATATCACGATATCACTGTTTTGTTATGTCTGTGTAGTTGACATTTTAAAATTTTTAAGCGCCTGCTCTTTCTGAATGTAAACAAAGCTTTTCTCCACCTCCTCCAACCTAATTGGTTGTGAGGCGGACCCTGCTCCCTCGTGCTGATTGGTTGTGAGGCATGCGCCACGTCCTCAAATAATGAGCCCAAACAAAGTTAGCGAGCTACAATATCGGACAGTAGAAACCAACCAGAAAGTACAGAAAATTGTCTGAATCCTCCTTTGGCCACGACAGCCAACACAAGCAGGAAAATTAAGTAAATACCGGGGACTCTAGCGGAATAACAGGCGCTTAAAAGGAGGTAGACCGGGCAAGAGCTAAAAAGCCGGGTCAACATCAGTGAATGCTTCAAGATCCAACAGACCCTGCAACCTTTCTGCTAGACAGGTTAACTGCTTTAACAAAGTAGGCTAAGTGTAACAGAAGTGTTTCTTGTCAAACGGGACCTGCTGTGTGTTGTAGTGCCACTTTACTGTTTTTGTAGAAGTTCTCCAAACATTGTGTTTGCTGGTAGTCTGTTGGCATCTACAGTAGCACCAATGCTTTTTACTTTCATGTTGACTGGGCCCCATTTGTAATTATCTGAAGTATTTATCTGTATCATATCTGAATTTAATTGAAACAATATGAGCGAGCCGGAGCGTCTGTTTGTGGGCGGGGCTTGCTGGAGCAGAGCGGAAGGGGAGAGGAGGAGCTGAGGGGAAAACTGGTTGGGAGGGGGAGTGTTTACATTCAAGATTACTCCCCAAAACTGGCACTTCCTCAGATCCTGCCTACCTCACCCTTAAACAAGAATAAACTGGAGCTTAGTTATTAGGTTATTACAGTCAGATCTATTGCACACAAATAATAGGAAAGTGAAAGTCTTTACTTGTTTGCTGCTGCAGCGTTTTCTCTATAATCTGCTCATTCTTTCATTTTGCAAACAAAACTGTACTGATGTTGATCTGATTCAATGCTTAACTCCATATTCTTCAGATATCACACTGTGCTGAGTTTGAAAAATGAGAAGATTTGCCAGTGGTACACTCGCTCACGCTCAGTCTCTCACAGGGAAGTCAACCTCTTCCTACCTCCCACCCAGTCATGCTTCTAACCTGTTGAGAGAATTAGTTAACCTTTGTCTGTGTGTGTTTTGTTTGTTTGCTTGGTTGTTTTGTTTTTTTTTTTTTGTTTTTTTATTACACAGCTTTTTCTTTTAGTTTTTGCTATCCCAACTTTTTAGAAACATGTTGACGTCAAA